GTGAAAGTTTTTGGTACTTTATGTCTTGACATTAAATAATAACAAGATATTTTTGAAAATGTGTGTGATGGCACTTGGGTGAGTTTTTAGCTGGATGCTCTCCATCAGTAGTGCAGTGATACATGAGATATAACAAGATGTAAACCCACCTGGGCAAGGGACCTGCAGCACCACGTTGGTCTGTGGCCATGCAGAGAAGGACTTTGGGGCTGCCCGTGGCCCTGGCAAACCCCAGCTTGTTCTGGAGTGTTCTGAGTACTCTGTCCCGTTCCTCCCAAGAGATGTAAGCTCAGTGCTGGTGTCCAGGGGAGCTGGACCCATGGCTGTGGGGCTGGGAAGTGACTGGGAATGTGAAGGTTTGGGACTGGGAAGTGATTGGGAATACAGAGGTTTGGGGCTGGGAAGTGAGTGGGAATGTGAAGGTTTGGGACTGGGAATGCAGAGGTTTGAGACTGGGAATGTAGAGGTTTAGAACTGGGAATTCAGAGGTTTGGGACTGGGAATTCAGAGGTTTGGGACTGGGAATTCAGAGGTTTCCTCCCAAGGTCACGGCGCTGGCAGCGGCCGCGCAGCTCCTGAGTCACGGTCATGTGCTGGAGCTGCGGGTCCAGTTCTCCTCCTCGTGTGTAACTTCAGTAAATATAGACCCAGAAGCCTTCCCTGAGCCGGGAGGATTCGGGAATCTGCCACAGGGATTAACCCCTTCCCGGCCAAGCCAGCACAGAGCTCAGCAAGTGACACTTTTCTGCCCGGGGCTGGAAGGGTTTTGTTCCCAAAAGATTTTTCCAGAGGCAGAGCTGGGTGACTCAGCTCTTTTGAGCCTGATGTGTGTACTTTGCCTGTTTATTCCCAGGACAGGCAGTCCCAAGGGAGTCATGTTACGCTGCAGGCTCAGTGTTTATTAACCAGCTCGGGCCTGAGCTAAGAATAACTTTTTTCAGTTGTTTTGTTGATAGTGATTATTTTTCCTTGCTTAGCACAGGCAGCAGCTTGAGGTGGAAACGGTCCAGAGAAAGGATTTTCCCAGCAAGTTGTGGGAATACATAAACACTCAGCTATTATCACCTTCCTCTCCTGAACAGCCACAGCTGAAACATAAAATCAGGAAGGTGAGAGCTTTAAGGGAAGCAGATTGCTCTGTCTTGAAGTGGAGCAGCTCAGCAGCGCTCTGTCCTCTCCCAGCAGTTATTTGAACTTCAGGGATTCAATCCAGCCTTTAGATGCTTCAGAACCAACATTTGTCTGCAGAGCAGTACTTCCTTCCCTGCCTTCCCCTCTGGGGGGTTTATTTAGGGGATTTTTGGAGCATTTCCTCACTGATCTCTTCATTCCCTCAGTCCAGCCCCGGTGCACGGAGCCCTGTGTGGCTGCATGTGACCACGTTACTTTCTGTACCCATTTAGCTGCTTGGCACAGAAAAAAAGTCCTTTGGCAGATGAATAGATGCAATGCTTTAATCAGCTGATGTGTATGAAAAGCAGCAGAGTGCTGTGATTTATTCTGTTGGATCTTTGATAGTTTATTTAGGCTCCCACAGCCAGTGTGAAGTTAATACCTGCAGAAATTTATAAACCACTTTTCCCTCCCTTTTCTTCCCCCATTATGGTTTTAACACAAACACCAGTTAAGGCAATGTCCCTCTGGTTGGAAACATGTGGAGCAGAGGCATTTATTGTTGTGCAATAGTTGTAAAACCTACTTATTTAGCTGATGTTTGTGGTCTTCAGTGGGATTTGTATTGCACTTGTTCCTTACTTGTGACCTCGCACCCATGAGGGTCATCTGTCCAAAACTGCCATGGTTGATGACACCTTTGTAGCAGAAACCCTTCTCTGGCCTCTAGTTAAGCTTTTGTATGTTTTTTCCTTTATTTATAACTTCATGCTGTGCTCGTTCTGGTAGGGTTTTAATACAGCAAGTTTAACCCTGGATTGTGTCGCAGTGTCACAAGTGATGTGTCACCAGTGAAGTGCCTTTGGCACTGTGTTTCCAAATACCTGCTTTATAGTTTTGCTGCTAAAACTCAGAGGATTTTTAGGCTTAGTGACAGCTGTGCTCCCTTTCTCTCACATCTCCTTTGGCTTGGATGATTAAAAGAAAACGGGGGCTGTTTTGGAGGTGGGTACAGATTTTGGGGCAGCATCAGATACCTGACTTACCTTTGGGAGTCGTAACAGAGCTCTGCTCTGTCACATGCAGTTTAATCCTGAAGAAAATGTTTCATGAGCCTAAAGATGGGGAAGAATAGTAGGTATTTTCTTCTCTTGTTGCTGAGGTGCTGTGGGAGCAGCAGTTTGGGATGAGGTCTCATCTCCTGAGATGTGGAGCTGAATCAACTGGTGCATTTATTGGTATTATTTATTTATAATATTTCCCAACACAGTCACCTACCCTATGTGCTCACTGCTGGCTAGTGGGAGAGATACAAGGGAGAATGGCTTTAAACTAAAAGAGAGTAGGTCTAGGTTGGATATTAGGAGGAAATCCTTCCCTGTGAGGGTGGGCAGGCCCTGGATCCCTGGCAGTGTCCAAGGCCAGGCTGGACATTGGGGCTTGGAGCAGCCTGGGACAGTGGAAGGTGTCCCTGCCATGGCAGGGGTGGGACTGGATGAGGATGATTAAAATCCCTTCCAACCCAAACCCTTCCATGATTCCATGATAGGAACAGCAGCATCTGGACCTGTGGGAGAAGCCTTAATCTCACAGTGGGCAGAGATCCCAGATGCAGAAAGTCAGCAGCAGGATGCTACAAAGGCAGGACAGCTTCTCCAGGTTGTGGGTGAAAAGAGTTTCCTCACTTCTCCTTAGCTTTGGGTTATTAATTCTGGAATTACACTGACACCACCAGCTCCAGCAGAATCACTCCTCAAGTAAAAGGGGAAAAGAGTTGATGCTGCATCTGACATCTCAAAAAAAAAAAAAAATAGAAGGCTTCTTTCCATTTAGTTGTTTACATTAATTAGGTTTTGGCAGTGGTGAAAAGGGAGGGAAGGGCTGGCTGGAGTGGATTGGATCAGGGAGCTCGTGGAGAGGAGGGACAGAGCAAACCTGCCCTGCCCACCCCTCAGAGGATGCTTCTGCCATCAGGAGCTGAGCAAAGCATTTAATTGCTCTTGAACCAGAGGCTGTGCTGCTGTATTGGTATAAACTCCTCCAGAACAACATTGTTTAGCTAAATACCTTGCCCAGTGTGTTTGGTGTCCTGGATCACAGTAAAGACCTGGTGGTGTACTTGGACACACACATTTTATCATCATTTTGACCCAAAAAGCTGTGGAAATGAGGCAGAAGCTAACAGAAGGTCCTATCTAGTTAAGTTGTGTGGTAGGAGCAGTGTCCTCACATGTCTGTGGAGTCGTGTCTAAGTTTTGCTTTTTAAAAAGCAGTTCCAGTGTGGTCCCAGAGTAGGAATAGAAGGTATTGTAGCAGTTGGGTTTTGGGATGGGGCTATTTTTGGCCTGTGCTCATTCCCCTCACCCCGTCTACCATGTTTGTTTGTTGTATTTGTTGTATTTTTCCTTTTTTTCTTCTTGAGACCAGGGAATTCCTGGTTGGATTGTTTCTGAGCTATATTTTCATTTACCTTGTGTTGCACTTTAATCAGCAGGTGATTAGTCCAGGGATGGGAAAGCAGAAAAAAAGAGACAATGCAAACTGTACCCCTGTTCTGGCTTTTCTGGGGCATCTCCAGTCCTGGGGCAGCTCTGGGAGCCTCAGGGCAGGAAGGACCAGGAGGGGCTGGAGCGTGTCCAGAGAAGGGAATGGAGCTGGGAGGGGGCTGGAGCACCAGGAGGGGCTGAGGGAGCTGGAAAGGGGCTCAGCCTGGAGAAAAGGAGGCTCAGGGGGGCTCTTCTGGCCCTGCATAACTCCTGACAGGAGGGGATAGCCAGGGGGTTCAGGCTCTGCTCCCAGGGAACAGGGACAGGAGGAGAGGGAACGGCCTCAAAGTTACATTGGATATTGGGAAAATTCCTGCATGGAAAGGGTTGTCCAACAGACTGTCCAGGGCAGTGGTGCAGTCCCCATCCCTGGGGGGGTTTAAAAGATATGTAGCTGTGGCTCTTGGTGACATGGTTTAGTGGTGGCCTTGCCCAGTGCTGGGGAAGAGTTGGACTTGAAGATCTCAGAGAGATTTTCCAACATTACCGATTCCACGATCCTATGGTTCTTGAGAGCAAAGACTGTTGCAGGCTGGTGACTGGTTTTTGTGCCATTACAATAATAAATTATTTTAAAAAATAATAATGTAAATTATAATGTTTCTGTTCAAAAAGAATAAGGAAAAAGGCACTCTGAAAAGTTATTTCTAAATGTCTCGTTAAAATGCGTCATCGGCAGAGCTCCAGTTTATTGTTACTTTGGGCAAATAACACTTGGGGAGAGCATCTGGTGGGATAAATTGTTATAGCCCATGGAAATGGGTGGAAGTAGGAAAAATGTGCAGAGCCTGTAGCCACGGCCTGCCTTCCATCTGGGATGATTTTGGGCTGTTCCATTGCATTGGAAATGCTTTAATGCAGCAGCAGCTTGTGTTAAACACACTCAAGGTTGTTTCTTGCTGTTTGCCTGATTTTGGAGGATTTACTGGCATTGTCTACAGGTCTGGCTTTCCTTGGAAGCTGGTTCAGGGGAGGCTTTTGGAGACAGGTGACCAGGCCTTTGCACACACAGAGTTTTGGTGACACTGTGTCATGTGCCTCCTGGGTTGTTTTCCACTGCAGCACTTGGGGATCTCAGGTGATAAATAGTAGCAAACTCTGACTTATAAAATAGTAGTAAACTCTGGCTAATAATTACTAATGGAGCTGTTACTTACTAGTGGAGCTACAAGCTGCTCCCGTCAGAGGCAGTGTTGATGAATTGGTCCTAGACAGAGATGGTTTCTCTGTTGCAATCTTTTCGTCTTTATCTCGGTGTCAGTCCCTCCAGTTGATAACGCTTTCTGGTTTTGGGGATGAATGATTGGATCCACTCACTTTGCTTTTCTTGTTCCCTGGCAGGCTCCTTATCCCTCAGGACAGAATGCAGCTCCCACCACGCTGGTGTACCCTCAAGCCCCTCAAACAATGAACACGCAGCCTCAGACCCGCTCGCCGGTAAGGAGCCCGCGCTGCCTCACCCGCTGCTCTCTCCTCCTCACTCGTGTGTTTCTCTGTCTCTGTGTGTCTGTAGCACGGGGCTGGTTCTCTGCAAAGCCCATTTTACTGACCTGGAAGCACACCCTGAATGGCAAACCTTGATTGAGTTTTTCAGACACTATCCTGGTAGGATAATTTTCCTTCTGAAGTTCCTAAAGAAGCGATGGAGGGATTCTCATCTACCTTCAAATAACACTATTTATTTTTAGCCTAGTTGCTTTCAGGTTCACTTCATTATAGAATACAGGTTCATTGCCAGAATCTTTCTCTTTTCTTCTTTTTTTTTTCCTTTTTATTTTTTCTTTAAGGATGTGTTTTGTGCAGGGATAGACCAAAGATCAAACACAAGCAGTTCTCTGCAGCAGCACTCGCTCTCCAGTGGCCTCTGGGCTTTGCTCCCAAATCAGTGCCACCGATCAGTTCTAACCCTGGAGGTGCTCACATGTAACCTAGAGCTTCTGTGTACTCAGATCTTTTTGTGCTGAGCCCCTTTTTCATCCAGCTTCAGGTTTGATCATCCTTCACAGTCTGTTTTTTTGGGATGGATGTTTATTGTGATACTGCTCTGCTGTTGTAGGACTTCAGTTCCCCATACCAGGTACTTTCTGGGGATTCTCTGCTTGTAGCACAGGTCCACATGATGTCAGAAGACCCTCCTAGGGCATCAGAGGCTTTGCCCAGCTTCTGGAGGCATGGTGGCTTCCCATCACCACATCTCAGGGCTCCATCAGCCGAGGGAGCAGCAATCCTGCACCTCCTGCCCCTCTGTGTCAGGACACCTTCAGGTTGCCCATAACCCTCGGGTGCCTTCCCAGCACTCTTCTCTCTTTAGGGTAAGGTGAAAGCTCCTGGAGCAAACTGAAGCCTCTGAGACAGAGGAGCCTGTCCACAAAACAGGTATAAGTGCAGATAAACCCAGGGCAAGGATCCCCAAACCTGCAACATCACTGGGGCACTTTCCCAGCTCTGGAGGTTTCCCCTCCAGGATGTGCCAGGGTTTGTTCTGAGACCCCTCAACCTCTGCTGATGAAGGAGCCAGGTAATGCTGACTTTGAAGTTCTTTGATGTGGACAGCTGGGAGTTTGTCCTTAGTGCCCCATTCTGTTCAGTAATGCAGGACACTGCTGCTAAAGCTCTTCCCTCAGTAAGTATAATCATCTTTCTCTTTAATTGTTGCAAAGCACAACTAAGCTGCTATGGTTAGAACTGGAGCAAAAACTTGACTGAAGAGCTGCATCTCTAAACCAGTTTTTTTGACAGCCCAGCAGAACAGTGCCAATACATTGCACAGAAAACTGGAAGAGGAGGAAGGTTTTGGAACAGAGTCCGGTTTACAGGTCCCTGGCTGGAAGAGGCTGGATAAAATACTGCATTGTAAGCAATATAACAAACTGTACTCCTTCTTGCAGGCACTTGTGCCCATGGCACCGTTTTTATTTCTTCTTCCTTTCTTTATTATATATATATATATATTTTTTTTTTTTACCACATCCTTTTTTTGTTGGCTACAGAAATGCACTGGTTTTGCTTCTTTGCTGAAAGCACGAGCTGCCGTGGCAGCCTCTGCCAGGTGAGGTGGTGCCACAAGGGCCCAAAGCTGAATTACAGCTGGGGGGTCTGACCTGGGGTAGGACAGAGACCAAGGCCCCCTGGGCTTTGTCACTCAGCAGAGAGAGAATCTGCAGGAAATTTGGACAATAAATGTCAAATTTTTAGGGTTTTGGCCCCATAACTGAGGAGGTCCCAAGGAAGAATTTTTCTGCACCTGTCAGCCTTGTTTGTATTGTTCTGAGCTCTCCTGTGTGCAGGATTTGCCATGTGCTCTGCTAGTGCCCATCTCACCCCATGACTAAAAGCTGCTCCCACCCATCACATCTCATTCCACCTCCCACCCCAAAGCAAATGCAAGACTAGCCCAGGCCTGAGCTGATCCTGCATTTGTTCTTTGCTTGATTTATTTATTTGTGATTTAATTATTATTTTTTCAGTTTATTTTTTAACCGTCCCATTTGGTGGTGAGGGGAGGGTGAGGAGGGGAGAGGAGGGTGGCAGGGTGGCTGTGCCATCCCTGGGTTTCTGTCGTGCTCTGGCACGGCTGACGTGGGCAGGCAGGGCTGATCCAGCCCCTCCCTCGAGCCAGAGCTTCCTGCATCCTGCTCTGCATCCAAGGCCCTTTGGGAGTGCAGAGCTCAGGCGTTTCTGCTCCCCCAGGACAGCTGCCTTTGCAATCCGTGTGTGCTCCCCGTTAGCATCGCTCCCACAGCGGGAATTGCAAAGCTCCAGCTGAGGAAGGAAAACAAAATCCGGGTCCTTCAGCACTGCTGAAAGTTCCCCATTAGCTCTTGGCCGTGCCAGCCCCATCTCAACACAAAGTGTCCAATTTTAGGACTTCTGCCCAAAAAAGATACTCCAGAGAGGGTGCTGGAGCAATCCAGGAGGGGTGAGATGTGCCAGCCCAACATCTGCAGGGAGAGAACATTCCTGTGTCCATGGAGCAGTGGGCAGGACCGTAGGGAGGGGGAGATGGGGCAAGAAGGTTGGACCCAGGATTTCTAAGGTTTTCCTATCTACTGTCTTCATCAAACAGAGAAAAAACAACCCAAAGTGTCTATTTTAAGTGAGCAGTGACTACTACAGTTTGTTCTGTTGCTTACAGCTATTAACAGGAATAATTCCTATCAAACAGAATTATTTTTTAAAAATGTAAAAATCAAGAGCCAGTGGTGACCAGTGCAAAATAGATGAGGGCATTTTTCAGTAACTTGGGGCTTTTATTTTATTTCTTGTAACACACGTTACTTTCCACCATGGAACAAACTTTGGCTTCTTCAGATATAAACTTCCAGCTCTTGTGTTAGGTGCAGTGAGAACAAATCTTTTCTGTGCAACAGGAATGAGAGAGGTGCCTTGGCCCTGAAGTGAAGCAGTACAGGTTTCTGCATCCCAACATTCTCTTTTTGGCTGTTTTCTTTCATTGGTGTCTAGCACAGAACATGCAGCCCCATGGAAAGGCTCAGCCCTTCCAGGATGCCTTTACTCCCTTTTCCCAAACACAAGATATTCAAGCTGGTTTAGGGGAAATTTCTTTGGGAAGATAAGGACTTGAAGTGCTTTTTTCTCCAGAGACTCATCCAGGTACCTGTTTCTCCTCATCCACAGAGCCACTGGGAGAATGCTGAGAGGCTCTGAGTCCTTCTGTTTTATTAAAATAGAAATGACAGCTTTTTAGTTTCACAAGGTGACCATGCTTTGCTTTTTTACTTTCCTCATTGTAAGGCTTAGGGAAAATTTTCCAGGGTGAGAAAACTATTTGGTGAACCAGTGCAGGTCATTCTTTATAAACTCTTGTCCCAGGAACAGTCTCTGCATCCATATTTACTCATTTCTGAAGGTTTTTATGACTTTCATCCAAGTGTCACCAAGTGCCACCATGAGGTGAAGGTAGAAGGAGTATATAAACACCAGGATTAGCAGAGTAGTTCTTGGAAATCTTTAAATCTGGGCAATTTAAGTGTTTATAAAGGAAAAGATCAAATTGACCAGTGAATATTTATGCTTTGCTTCATGTTTGATGGCATTAGAGGAGCTGTAAGGGCTGCAAGTGAACCCGGGCCCACTTTTCCTTATAGAAAATAAACTTATTAAGAAAGTCACTAATTAGTACCCAGTTTTGATCACTGTTGTGAGGCAGAAAGTAAACCACAATGAGCCCCTGACTGAGCAGAGGTGGCTGTGCTGAGCCATCACAGCAGAGGCACATGGTGGCTAAAATCCACTTTGGATGTAGTTGTGGTCACTGCAGTTAATTATTGGAGTTCTTATTGGTAGAATTCTCTGCTCTCATTGTGGAGCTCTGCTCGTTACACTGAGAATTATGGGTTTCAACACCTAACTCAGCTCTGGAAGTGGGTACCTTGTCATCTTTATTTATATTTTCCATTTCTTGCATTCATTTTTATTTCTATTTTAACAATCAGTTCCTTATTGGGAAATGCTTTTAATGTCAACTGAGCATGTTAAATTGGGGTTATTTTCCTTTGTGTGTGGCCCAAGTGAGTGGGAGATGATTCAGTGAACTCAGGGCTGGGACCCAGGAGCTCCTGTTCTCCATCCCGGCTGCGCCGCTGCTGCCTTCAGGGATCAGCTGGGCCTTGGCTTTCGGGCAGGGTGACACATCCACTCCTTACAGGGGCTTTGCTGCGACCCCAGGGGAGGAGCACAGCTGGAAGTGCAGCAGCAGGGGTGGACGTGCCAGGAGTGGCTGCTCTTTGCCTCGCAGGGATGTCCCTGTGCCTCCCTGGCTCTTCCCAGCCGTGGCTCTCCATCCTCTGCTCCCCCAAAGCCCCGCAGCGGCTCCGGCCCAGCTGCTCTAACCATTGACCTCCAACAGCTCCAGAATCTCCACTGCTGCTCGTTTTCAGTTGTTTTTTTGGTTTTGTGTGTTCTTCCCAGGCAGGATAAGGAATGCCTGCCTCCCTGAGTGCCTTTAGGATCCCGGGCAGCGTTGGCTGTTTGTCCCAGCTCCCAGCACAGTGCCCGTAGCGATGTCCATCGTGACACCTCAGTCCCTGTGTGTCACTGTCCTGCAGCAAAGCTTTTGACTGTGTCATTGTTATTTTATTTTCTGTGGGTTTATTTTGCATAGAGTGTGACATTTTGGTTCGTTGTGGTGTTTCTGACTCTTTGTGCCTTTCCTTTTGTGTTTGTTTCTCCCGCCTTTCCTCAGTTTGCAGCGGGGCCTCGACCTGCCCATCACCAGGTACAGTACCTGCCCCTTCATTATCACCCTGCACTAATTGGCTGGGGGGTGGGGGTGGAGGTGACTCACCCACTAACTCGAGTGGAGGAAAGCAGCCCTGCAGTAGCTCCTGGCACGTGCATAACCCTGCTAACAGCTGCCTGCACCCTGAGTGACACTGACCTCACCCGGGGTCACTGCTCCCATTAACCACCCACACCCCCAGGGGAGGAGAACCTCTGGGAGTCATTGCCAGGGATGTGTGGGGTTCCCTTGCCTTCTCACATCACTAGAAACTTGTTCTGAGTATTCGCCAGACGAGTCAGTGGTTTCAGTTTCCTGAAGATGTCACCTGAGGAAATCCTGCTTTTCCAGCTCACAGCAAAGCAAACAACTTCCCAGGTCCTGCCTTTGTTGTGTGATACCCCTGGTTATCTGTCACCATTGCATTGCTTGGTGTCCTTTTCACTTAGCCCACAAAAGCCAGACCTGTAGGAAACTTTTAGTGTTCCTGTTGCATGACTTGGACTTTGTGAGGAACCACTTTATTATTAAGAAGAAGAACTAGGAATAGCTGTGGCTCATGGAACTCAGGGGTGGCAGAACTGGGACTTCTCCAATGTCAGGACAGAGGCACAGGCTTGTCTGTCCTAGTCAGGGTGTTTGGAATTGTCTTTTCTTCAGCTCCTACACTCCTCTTTGCCAAAACTCTTATCCTTGGGATTTTGATGATTCTTGTAGGTTTTGAGGGAACAGAGGTGGCACTGCTGGTGGGAAAGAGGAGAGGCAGGACAAGGCAGGGAATCTCTCCCAGAGCCCTCTTGGCTTGGAAGAGACAGGTTGTTTCCATAAGTTAATAGGAAAAAAAAATCCCATTAATTCTGTGTTGTCAGGACAGGGGCTTGAGGCATGGAAAATTTGTTCCAGGGAATTATTTTGTTCTCACTTCACTCATGTTCCTGAGCAGTTGAACACTGGGATGAGCAGTGTGGGAAGAGCAGGTAAGTGTTAGGTGGGCACAGCCCCCAAAATCCCCATCATCCTTGTTCCTTCCAGCTCAGGGAGCAGCAGGGGAGCTGGAGCCTTCCAGAGCAGGGCAGAAAAAGGATTTTAAGGAGTACAATGAGCCATGTGCAGCTGTTGGCTCAAAGGCAAAGGTGGCATGGGACCTTTGGGACAGTGATTTCTGTGCATGGCTGGACAGGCAGGGGCAGAGGAATGTTTGCAGGATGACTGCAGGGGCAGCCTGGGCAACGATGGGAGCATCAGGATCTTGTTTAGATGTTTTTGTTGTTGACCTTAACTTCAGGTTGGTGTTTATACTGCACAACACAGAGAGTGCATTACTGCTCTGCAGCTCCTTAGCTCCTTCAGGGTCATTCCTAAGGGATGTATTCACTGGGAGCCATTTCATGTTCTCCTAAAATCTACTGAGCTTTCTTTAAGCAGGTTTTGGCCCATGAGTCTTGAGGCAGCACAGCCTTGGAGGAAACATTCCCGTGACTGGGGCTTTACTGGTGGGACTTGGCCACCAGTCAGTCAGAATGGGATCCAAAACTTTCCTTTGGACCCAGTTACAGCCCTGCCCTTACTGTGCTTGTAAATTCCAAGTGTTTTCCTGATTTTATCACAGTTAGATTTTTGTCTCTGCTACATTTGAATCTGCTTATAATCATCTGTGAGAAGCTGTCAGCATTAGGAGAATATTCCAAGCTTTATTCCCCATGTGCTGCACCAGGACAGGCACAGGGACACCGGGGCTGTGGATGAGCTGTTTGCTTCCTTTAACCCAAAACCCACATGGTGTGGACTGGGGGTGCAGACAGGGATTTTGGCCCCTGCCACATGCAGGAAGGTCACAGCTGTGGGGACAAGTTCATCCTAAACCCAGCACTCACAGGGTGCTCGAGACCAACATAAGTAATTATCCTCACAGGAGAGTTTTTAGACTTGGTTAAACTGTGTAACACAAGCTGAGAGCTTTGAGACTCAGATTTGTAAGCTAGAAAATGCTAATAAGTAAATTGGCCTCAGCAGGTTTAATATTTACTGCAGCAACTCCACCACCTTCCCTTTGAAGGCAGCAGCAGCACCATGGGGTTTGCAATTCCCTGTGTCCATCCCAGCTTTTATTAACATGTGCCTTGTATTGATTCTGGGTCTCCTTCAGGCAAATAATGGATTGTTCTTCATTGTTACTGCCTGTAATTATTAGACCTTTAAGGTCCTCAAATGAGCATGATTTAAGCACCTGGAGTTGAATGACAGCTTTATGAACAGGGTTTTTTCCTGGATGGAAATGCCTGCCCTGGAGTTGGACAGTGGGAGTTGGTGGAGCCAGTTAATGCTGAAGGAAGTGTGACCCCACTGTGAGAGAGAAAATAGCAGAGATTTAGGGTGTTACCAGTAGTGGCTGAAGGGAAATGAAATAATTGCAGCAGTTCTGACTGGAAGTTAAGTGTGCATCAGTAATCCCTGATTCCAAGATCACACACTGAGAATCTGCAGGAAAACCTCAGTTCATAGGAGACAGAAAACAGCCCCTACAAAGTGTTTTGGGCAGTATTTTTGAATACACTGTCAGCTTGTGTTTTTTCCCCAAATGCTGTGCCACATGTAGCTGTTCCCTGCTGGAACTGCTGCTCCATTTCCCACTTCCTGCACAGACTTTCCCTGTTTTTTCTTTCTGAGTGAGGCTCTGGAGTCACTTTGTTGCTTCTGATCCTCACAAAGCACCATTGAGAGCAGCAGTTTTCTTATAACCTGAACTCCAAAATGCAAATTTTTGTTACATTTGAATCTGCCTAAAACCCCTTCACTTATGAAGTGACTTGGGGAGTGTGGGGTTTATTTTAGAAATGGGTGCTCAGAAGAGGCTGGTGTGATTAAAAACAGAAATCAGAAATACAAATTGAAATGTGGTCATTTCCTTTTGACTTGAACTGTGTTTGAGATGGGTTTCTGCTCATGGCTCAGCTCCTTGCTTGAGGTTGCTGGTGGAATTTATTCCAGTTTTAGCTTGGGGTTGCTTGAGTTCCTCTGTGGGCTTGGCTGGGTGCTCTTGTGGAAAAGCTTTGGGACTTGGAGAGGTTGGGACTTCGCTCCTTGAACTGACCCAGCTGATCATTTTGTAGCTTTTTTGGGGTATTTCAAGACAGAAAGTGATGGGAAACTGCTGCAATCACTTCCCTGTCTGCATCCATGAGTGTGTGAAGGAGCTGCCACATCTAAATACCAAAACGGGCTTTTCCGCTTCATTTTATGATTTAGTAAATAATAAAACAGGGGAAGTCAGAGGGGAAGACAACAAGCTTTGCCTTGAGCCAGCCACAAGAGCTGCACTGAGGTGCTGGGGAAGCAGGACTGGGGGTTTGTGCTGCAGCTCCTGCTCCTGGAGGAGGGACAAGAGGAAATGGCCTCAAGCTGCCCCAGGGGAGGTTTGCCTTGAATATTGGGAAAATTTCTTCGTGGAGAGGTGGTCAGGCACTGGAGGAGATGGAGTCAGCATCACTGGAAGTGTTCAAACAATGTGTGCATGTGGCACCTGGGAACATGGGTTAGGGATGGACTCGATGATCTTAGAGGGTTTTTCCAACCTGAACAATTCCACAGTTCTCTGATCTTCACATCTCAGGGCTGCAGCTCCTCGGTTCCTACTGCACTGCCCATGCAGGCACCTCCTCCTCCCTCCCTCAGGCCAGGCTCAGGTTATCCCACCAAAGGCTGGTGCCTGGTGGCACCAGAAAGACTAAAAATTAATAACAGGAGCACAGGAAGCTTGAGTGAAGTGCGGAGCTTGGGTGACAACTTGGACTTTCCTTTTGCTTCCACACTCCAAACCTCCCAGAGGGCTCCATGGACCCATCACAACATCCAGCCATGAGCCTAGGAAAAAAATATGTTTGCCAGGCTGAGCTTAGTATAGGTTTGTTTTCAGACTCTTACCCCAAATTTCTATTTTGGTGCAGCTTTGGGGTCCGAGGGAGCACTCCTGGCACTGGGAGCCATGGCCTGCAAATACAGAGCACGTGGCAAAGCCATGAAAAGCAGTGCTGGGTGATCACAGGGGGCTGGGGCTCTCCTTGATCTCTGCTTTTCCTAGGTGGCACGTTGAGCATTGATTTTATTACTCTGGGCACGGAGTGATTGGGGAAGAAAATGAAGAAGATGATGGTAAATAAAAGGATTTGGGAGGGTTGGGGTATGTGAGCAGTGAGTAAAGGGAAAATGGCAAGGAAGGGCAGAGGGGTAGGCAGGAAGTTTGGAGTGGAGAGCCCTGGGCTGTGTCCCTGCAGGGGAGCCTCAGAGCCTCCAGGGACCAGCTGGAGGCTCTGGGAATGAGCAGCATTCCTTGCCCAAGGGGCTCCCAGTGCTGGGAGTGTTCCCCCAGTACTCCCAGCTGGTGTGAGCAGGTTCTGGAGGTGCAGCAGGAGCCTGAGGAGCAGATTCCATGGCTGGCATGCCCCCATCTCTGGCAGTGGGGGTTTTCCTGCACTGCTCTGTGGATGGAGGTGCTGTTGATGGAGAGAGGTCTCACTTCTGCCTCCAGCCCTTTTCACTCTGCATAAACGCACACCTGTGGGACTTATTTTTTCCAACCCTCCCTCAGTGACACATGTGCTGCAACATGCTTACAGCTTAAAAATGACCATTACTCAGTGACTTGCAGTTAAAAAATAAGACTTTTACACTTTGTGGTGTCTTTGGATATCGAAAAATAAAAAACTCTGGTGATTCTCACCACGAATTCAGCACCTGTGCTTGTTTCATGCCACACTCCTGCATCTCCCCACATCTCACAGCCGCACAGAGGTTTTGTCAGAGCAGGACCATGGCAGGCTGCTGTTCTTCTCATTTGCTTTCTCCACCCTCACTTCCAAACTTTTCTCCCCAAACAGTTCTCTTCTCCTGGTTCTGGTCACACTTCCAGTGTGCTGGGGACAGCTCTTCATCCAGGTTGACAGGGCTGGACATAAAAATCTGTGCTCACCTTAACAGTGTCTGGTTATGTGAAAGAGTCATCCAGGGCTTTCCTGGAGAGATTGTTTGCTGTGGGGAACAGCTCAGGTGTCATGTAGTCTTCAGCAGCACCAGAATGGCCATTTTCAGCTCATTGTTATGTTGAGGACAGAGACATCACAACTTCCTTCCATCCTTCCCACCCTTCCCAAACCTGGGGTGGATAATCCCAGCTCATCCCTTCATTCCCCTCTCTTCTTTTCTCACTGCTCCTGGCACAATTACTCCCTGTAGCACATCACTGCACAGCAGCCAGCAGGATTCAGTGTGATGTGTGGTGGCCTAATTATTATAATTACTTTTTACTGAACAGTTAAATATGTGGCATTTCTTCTCCTCCCAGTCTTGGTGCAGAAAAGGAGAGAAATCCATGATTGGAGCCAGGGTTTCTGCTTTATCTGCTCTCTCTGTACTGCTGAAAGAGACCAGAAGGAGAAATATTTGATGTTTTAGGAACACAGTAAACATAAAGTCTTTCTGTAGTGTTACATTTCATGCAGTAAATCATGGTTTGATTGGGTTTTTTGTTTGTTTTGTTTTTAACTTTTATACTTCAATGTGAAACTTTCGTAGGAGAGTTCTGAGCCTGTGGGATTCTGGCAGCAGAGTCCGTGGTACCACTCTGTCTTTTCCTGGCTGTTTCTGGAAGGGATGAGTCAGAGCAGGGCAGAAGCTGACTGGAACTGTGTGCATTTAGGGTGCATGTTGTATCCTATTCCTTCCTGTTGATCTGTAAGCTGTTCCATTGGCTTTCTTTCTGTTTCCTGCTGCTTTCTTGCTTCGTTATTGAAGGGAGGATTCAGACCTATACAGGTAACTCCAGCTCCTGGTTCTGCATGGCATCAGTGTCTCTCACCTGGTCACTCCTCTGTCAGTGAATGCCTCAGCGTGCAGTGCATCCCTCACCTCTGAGCTGTGAGCTGCAGAGCCAGTGCCTGCAGCCCCGTGCCCATCCCAGGGGCAGAGCCAGAGCCAGCCCTGTGCCCATCCCAGGATGCAGAGCCAGAGTCAGCCCTGTGCCCATCCCGGGGGGCAGAGCCAGCCCTGTGCCCATCCCAGGGGCAGAGCCAGCCCTGTGCCCATCCCAGGATGCAGAGCCAGAGCCAGCCCAGTGCCCATCCCAGGATGCAGAGCCAGAGCCATTCCTGTGCCCATCCCAGGGCCGCTCCCAGCACGGGAGGGCGAGCATGGGGCTGCTGCCAGGGCTTGCTTGGCTGCCTGGGCCTGGCCCATGTGCCAGGGCAGCACCTCATGCCAGCGTGGTGCAAGGCTTTGGGACCACCCTGGGACAGGTTGCCACCCTTTGGAAAACAGAGCAGGACAACTGACCTGGATGTGAAGGAGAAGCATGAGGTGCCTATGGCCTCTGTGAAATTCTGGGTTTTTAGCTCTTCTGGAGATAAATTGGAACAGTTGCATTGATGTTTTATTTCCCTGGCGTATTTATAAAGGTGGGTTTTTTTAGCAGCCAGCCCACCTTATAAAAAGAAAATTAGACTATCTCATTTTTCTAAAGTTGGCTCTGAAGGTTCAGCTGTAAAATTCAGGAGATGCAAACTAATAATTCTTAGTTTGTAAAGTTTCTTGCCTGTTTCTACCTTGTAAAATAGAAAGCCATAGATGGCCCTGCTGTTCACAGAGAAACACAGACTGTCCTGCAGTTTTCTGGAAGTGTGGCAACCCCTGGAAACTAACACCATAACTATAATATTGTAAGGTTATTTCCAATTCTTTCCCAGGAGGTCTGACCGGTTCTTTGCTTTCTCTCCTCTCTCCCTTTCCTCTCCTAGTTTTTTCAGAGGCCTCAGATCCAGCCTCCAAGAGCCACCATCCAGAACAGCAGCCCCTCCATCCGTCCCGGAGCGCAGACCCCGACTGCCGTGTACCAAACCAACCAGCACATCATGATGGTGAACCACCTGCCAATGCCCTACCCGATGCCTCAGGGCCCCCAGTACTGTATCCCACAGGTAAATCCAGCATCCAGGCACCTGAGGAGCTGCAGAGCCACATTTGCTCCATGAGGACTGTCTCAGGAGCTGCCAGGAGGGCGTGGGGATGTGTCTGTGAAATCAGGCTGGTAGTTGCATATCATGTGCCAGGGCAGGTCTAGATTAGGTATTGGGAAAAATTCCTTCATGGAGAGGATGATGGGACACTGGCAGAGGCTGCCCAGGGCAGTGGTGGAGCCAGCATCCCTGTAAGTGTTGAAGAAATATGTGGATGTGGCATCTGTGGACAAGGTTTAGGGGTGGGCTTGGCAGCGCTGGGGAACTGTTGGACTTTTGGTGGTTGTAGGGCTTTTCCACCCCAAATGATTCCAGGATTCTGTGGTTCAGCCTCTGTCCTTCCTCTGTATGAGGTATTTGTTCTTCTGTGCATGGAGGCAGTAGGAACCAATCACCTCTTTCAGGCCTCCCTCAAATACAGTAGGAAACCAAGCTCTTGGAAAATATTTAGTGCTTTAAAAATTCCTAACTTGACTTGGTAGATCCACAGGCACTCCAGAACCTTGGACCTCATAACACAGTGTTGCCATCAGGCAGAAACTGTTCTACCTCAGCTCCTGTGTCCTCCCTGCCTTGGCTTTACCTTGCTTTTGGCACTAGTATTTGGAGAGGTTTAGGGGGATGTTAGGAAAAACTCCTTCATGGAAAAGGTGGTCAGGCACTGGCAGAGGATGCCTGGGGCAGTGTTGGAGTCCCCATCCCTGAAAGTGTCCAGACAATGTGTGGAAGTGGCACCTGGAGACATGGTCAGTGGTGACCTTGGTGGAGCTGCTGGTTGATGGTTGGACTCAGTGATCTTAAAGATCTTTTCCAACCTTAACAATTCCATGATTCTGTGATGCCCAAAGCTGTCATTAACCAGCGTGAGGATCAGATGCCTGTTGATCAGGGGGGGCTCAGTTCCAGGTTTCCCCAGTCCTTGTACAGTGATGGTTGTTTTTGTCCCCCCAGTATCGTCACAGTGGCCCCCCGTACGTCGGGCCACCGCAGCAATATCCTGTGCAGCCACCGGGACCAGGACCCTTCTATCCAGGCCCAGGTCCTGGAGAGTTCCCCAATGCCTACGGTGAGTTCTGCTTGGAGACTGCTTACAGTCTTTTCTTGGTCTGTTTTTCTGTTGTCAAGCTGAAGATTTATAATAACAAGCTGGATTAGCATTTGTTTGAACTTCAAATAGCTGCTAAATTTGGTGGTGTCACAGCCCTGATTATTCACTCCTGAAAAATCCCAGAGCATTGTTTGTGTGAGTGTGTCAGGAAAGGCGGCAGCTGCCCAGGACAGCCTGTGACCAGCAATGGGGCTGGTTGTTAGTCCCTGCTCAATCATTATTATTTGTTCAGGTATTGTGGGTACATTTGGCAGTCCTGGTTTTCACTGTGCCATGCCTGGCATTGCCAGTTAACAGCAGTTAAGAGTTCTTATCCCAGTGTTTCTTGTTTGGTGTGTGCTGGGGGATAAGAACAAGTCATGTAGGTTTTTCCCTGGATTGATGCTGCAAAGATCATTTAGTCTAGTAGAAGAGTCTGTAACCCCTGCAGAGGCCAAAACATGGCCTTTTCATGTATTTGGTCACTCACTGCTCCCTGCCCACTCACATTCTGCAGCCTTTGGGGGCAGAGATATTCTCAGGCTCCCATGGGAATTCTCTGTTGGAATTTTGGAGCCTTGGGGTGACTGATTCCCTTCCAGGCTGACCAGTAACAGCCCTGCTGCCTTGGCAGAATTGCAGTTTGCTTTTCACACTCAGAAATCCCTTTGGAGGGAGAGAAAAACCCAGTAGCTTCCCTGTGCATAATTTAAAAAGGTCTCTTATTTTTCCTCTTTTCCTTCTCTTATTTATCTGTTCTGTGTGGAACTCATGGGAATTATTGAAAGGTTGTCATGAAGCCTTTGAACCTGGTAATGCAATTTTAGAACAGGATAGAGGGTAATTTGGGGCAGCTACTTCCTGGTGGTTGATCCTAGAGAGAATAGAAGGAATATTGTAATGGTTCTTCAAATCTGATCCACTAGATGAGGAAATTGCCCAGTATTCCTCATTTTTTGTTCTGTTACAGGTCTGCTTTCTTACTTCCTGCTTGCTTGGTGCCATTTATCTGTATTCACTCCTGTAATTAGGAAAAGGTTCATTTCCAGCCCCTTTCCTCTCCTGGAAGCACCTGTTTTTTTGCAGAAAATATTAGAATCTTTCAATCCCAGCTTTAGGTTGCTGCTGATGCTGTGGAGCATCAGTGGGTGAAGCCAGAGCTCTCTGTCCTGCAGAGTTCTCCAGGCAGGGAAGGTTTCACCAGGGATTTGCCTGTACTTACCCACCTTTCCCTCCTGTCACTGCCTTGCTGTGTATAGGGACTGGGAATGCTCAGCCCCTCTCCAGGTGCTGCCAGGTTTGGGGAGCAGCTAAATCTACAGTCCAGGCATGGATAATGCTGCTGGCAGTGCCTTTTCCATCAGCCACAGGACTTGTAGCCAGCGTGGCTGCTGGATATCAAAATCATTGCAGTTGGGCAAGACCTAAAAAAGGTGATGAGGGAAAATACAGTGGAAGACAAAACTTGTGAAGATGGACAGTGTAATTTTATAACTCAGTCTTGCAGTTGATCATTCTCTGATGTCAGGGAGTTTCTGTACAACACTGAGAAAGACCTTGAAGTGATCAGTGGGTAGGAGAGAGAATAAAAGTTGGGTGCTGAAGAACTGGAAGGGATCAAAGGCAGGGAGCAGAGCAGAGAATGTGGCACTGGCAAATGCACTTGGCTTATCACAGAAGTTGTTTCTTCCCAGAAGTTACTCTTTTCAGGATTTAGGTTTTAAAAGTACTTTTCATAAAGGGAGAGTTGTTCCTTGAGTTCTGCTGGAGCTGCCTCTCCAGCAGGGATCACACTGCAGGTGATGTGGTTAGATCTGGTTTCTAGGAGACTACCAGTGAAGGGAATTCACACCTTGCAGGATCCCAGGCTTCCCCTGTTCCCTCACCTTACCCAGGCTCTGCGTGGACACCTGCTCATCAGCAGGGTTCATAGAATCATCAAATCCCAGGATGGTTTGGTTTGGAAGGACCTTAAATCCCATCCAGTCCCACCCCCTGCCATGGACAGGGACACCTTCCACTACCCCAGATTGCTCCAAGCCCTGTCCAGCCTGGCCTTGGACACTTCCAGGGATCCAGGGGCAGCCACAGCTGTTCTGAGCATAATTTTTGATTCCCAGTCTGCAGAGATGCTGATAGAGCCTTTGAGGCTCAGATCTGAAGTGGCTCTGCTGACCCTGGCATTCAAAATGAGACATTTCTTGAGTGATTCAGCCCACCCAGGAGTGTCACTTAGAGCTCCTTGATGCAATGCAGTGCTCCCTGCTTGCACAGGAAAAAGTTCCCTCTCTGAGGATGCAGACAGGGACCCTGCTCTGAGCTGGGGCTTTCCAGCTCTCAGCAGGAGAAATGCATCCTTGGAGTTGCAAATCAGGCTGTGCTGAGCTGGTTTAATTTGCTTTCTTGGATTTCACCCTTTGCCTGACATCCAGCGATCCCCCGGTTGGGTTACAGGCACAGTCCAGATTTTCATTCCCAGTTAAAGGTTAGTTTAGCTGAAGAACAGATCAGATTGTGCCAGAGGCAAGTGCAAACACTCAGTTCATCCAGCATCCATGCCTAGAAGGGAGAACACCCAGCAGCACCTTACACATTCCCCTGACACCTGATCCATGGGCAGGAGGCAGCTCTGCTCTGCCACCCTGACCTCTGGCATGGTCTTAAAACACTTAGTCATTCATTGAGCCACTCTCTTTCCACTGAGAAAACCATAATGAACCACACTGGCTGTTAGGAATGTGATCAGCACCATGGTGTAATTCTGCATTCATCAACTGTGGTCATGCTTTTTGTGTGTTGCAGCATGAGAGGAACATTGCTCATAATTAAACTTTCTGGTTATGCTTCCAAATAGGTTGCAGTTGACCTCGCAAATTGTTTGTATTGGTTAGACTGAATTTCTCTACAAAGGCAGAAAACCCCTGATAAACCAGCAGCAAATCCAGCAGAAAACCTTCCTGTTTGTCATGCAGAGGAGCCCAGGGATGGTCTGGCAGTGCCTCTGTGGTGTCCATAGCCTCTCAGAAATGGATTATGTACGTGGCCAATTTTGGGTCGTGGAAATCAAATAGGAAATGGTGACTGAATCTCTTGTCTTGATGGAGCATCAGCTTCTGTTCAGTGGCAGCGGAGCCAAGCAAGCGCAGCCCTCCCAGAGGGATGTTGGAAGTTCTGGCCAGCTGCAGTTCTGGTGTTGGTTGTGTGTCCTGAGCTGACCTGGTCCCTCTGGTTTGTGTTGTTGCTGCCCCAGGAACACCCTTCTACCCCAGCCAGCCCGTGTACCAGTCTGCACCCATCATTGTGCCTACGCAGCAGCAGCAGCCGCCGCCTGCCAAGAGAGAGAAGAAAACGGTGAGTGGGGCCCTGGGGGACTCAGCCCCAGGCTCTGTGCTGGGTGGGAGCTGCAAGGACATGGATAATGTTCTTCAGATTAAACCTGAACTTTACTTTCACTGGAGGCCCTGGCACAGGGTGCCCAGAGCAGCTGTGGCTGCCCCTGGAGCCCTGGAGGTGTCCAAGGCCAGGCTGGACACTGGGGCTTGGAGCCCCCTGGGACAGTGGAAGGTGTCCCTGCCCGTGCTCTAAGATGAGCTTTAAGGTCCATTCCATCCCAAACCAGTCATTTTGTGATTCCCAAAGAGATTAAGTGTAATTAAGCATTGCACAGTGCTGTTTTCCATTTTTCTATGGGCATGTCCACTCATGTGATGTGAATTTGTCACATCTCAGCCAATCAAAAAGGAAAATAATTTTCCTGGTTTTAAATAAACATAAACAAAAGCAGCATGGTCTCCCCAAGCCTGGAATCCTCACCTGTGCTGCTGCTTTGTGTGCTCCCAAAAAGCCAGGAGGGAATGAGTGAACCCAACAATTTGGGAGAGCGTTGGGAATTAGTTCAAAGTGACAAATCAGAAATGATTGAATATTACGCCTTGAAAAAGATGGAAAACCAGGAAGTTGTGGATGTATTTGCAGGCTTGAAAGAACCTGACCACATTATTAATGGGGACATGAGTCTGGAGAGCACATTCCCTCTCTTTCTGGTTCACTGGGGGGAATTTGAGAGAGGCAGATGAATGGAATTTAAACCCATCTACAGGTGGATGGTGGGGAACAGTGGAGGTGTGTGGGGTGAATGTAAGGTTTAACCAGGAAAAGATGATGTGGGCTTGAACTTGGGAATGAATCGTTTGTAAAGGACTGAAAAGAGAATTACAGCAGTATTTGTGTGAGAGTGTTTTGGAAACATTAAAAGAACAGTTTCCTGGGGGTAGAAGAGGATAAAAGGACTTGGACATGTCTCAAAATGCAGAATATTTGCATCTTTGGAGTTCCAAGGGTGATCTGGGGTGACACTTGATTTGGGAGACCGGAAGAACTGAACAATGTGTGAGCTGTGCCTGCAGGAAAGGCCTTTTTGGTGGCTGCTCTCAGCAGCTTTTTTGTCACCTCTTCAGTCCCCAGGAGTCTCTTTTCAGCATCCCAAACACGACATGCCCAGATCCCTGATGCCATTGAAATGCAGAGCTGATCAGACACGCTCAGCTGGGATTAAGGCAGTTCCATGCCAGCCAAGCTTCGTTCTTTGAGGCAGAAAAGGGATTTTAAATGCCCGAGATGCTTGTCTCTGAATGTGCTGTTTCAGTTTGATAATTGGTGTTGCAACTGGAGAAATGAGAAAAATTAAATGTGCACATGCCCACATCCACCATGAGCTGAGTATTTGAGTACTACAAATTTCCCTTGCAGGCAGGGAAATCTTGTTTTTAATGCCATGGACTCTGTGTCAGGCAGAGGAGAGGGCAGGAATTAGTGCCAACTCTCGGGTCCTTGTTGCTGTAGTTAATGAAATATTTTAGCAAAAAAATATATTTTTGCTAAAATATTTCGTTTACCCTTCTCTTACCAAAATAAGAAAAGCCCAGACTCAACATCGTGAGTACAGTGTGTGTGTGTGTGTGTGTGTTCACAAACAGAGTGAAGCCACCATCTCACCAAACTGAGTTTGACAAGTCACAAAACCCTTCTGCAGTTACAATTTTATAGCCCAGAATCCCAGAAGGGCTGGCTTGGAAGGACTTGCAGGACCATTCTCACCCCCTGCCATGGGGCAATTACAGGGTGGTTTCCAGCAGAACCCCTGCCCTTGGAAGGGTGATGGTGTCTCTTGATTTACTTGGAGTTGTTTGCTTGGATTTCTGCATGGAATTAATCTTGAGTTCAGCCAAGAGCTTTGGAGAAGGTGGGCAGATACACAGAACTCTGTCTTCAGGGTTATCAGAATCTCCAGTTCTTACACTGGAGATGGAAAGCTGTTTCACATTATCCCAGACATGCTGGCTCTTCCCCCTGGTCAGGGACATGGATTGGCTCAAGTGTCAGTTGAGGATTCAGTGAGTGTTCAGGAGTGGCTTATTTTGGAAAATATTTTTTCTTCCCATTTTGGTGCTGTAAAGAGACTCAAAAATCCCACCTTTTTCCTAAATGCTGCAGAGTTCTAAGGACTTCAGTTTGTTCTTTCAGTTTCCCTTTCCTCCACTTAGTATTTTTGTTTGATTCCCTCTGTTTTGGTGGAACTTGAGACTGATTTACTGATTTGCTTTCCCCCTTTTCCAGAAGCTGGGCTGGCAAGGTCAGGGAGTTTCCTGTCAGGGCAAATGACAGCCTTTTCTCCATTCTTGCCCTTTCCACTACTGGGCAAGCTTAGCTTGTACCTAAACTGTCTCCCACGTTTTCTCAGTTGCAGGAAGCTCACGTTCCAGCAGCAGAGCTTGTATTTTGCATTACAGGGTGCACATATTTAGACTGAACTGGTGTGGCTGATGATTCAATTAGGTTTTGATTAAATTAGGTGTTGATGAAGGGATGACATGCCATGCATTCCAAGCCATGGAAACAAGCCACATCCCAGTGTTGCTGAGCACCAGCTCATCCCAGAGCATCTCCTGCTGGGTGTGGTGGGAACTTGTGCTGCCCACACTGCTCTCCACCAGGGCAGCAGTAACAGGAACACTTGTGGGAATTATTCCTTTGTTGTTATTGCAATTCTTTCAATCCTGTAGATCCGAATCCGGGATCCAAACCAGGGAGGCAAAGACATAACAGAAGAAATCATGTCTGGAGGGGGCAGCAGGAACCCCACCCCCCCCATCGTCAGACCCACCTCCACCCCGACTCCACCTCAGGTAAGGAAGGGCTGCGTTCCTCCTCCGAGACCTTTGCCTTGCTGTGCCTCTCCCTCACACCTGCAGCCACACCTCTGACCATCTCAGAGACCTGGATGCTCCCAAATGATCAATATTCTTCAGCCATGATGTTTTCCTGAGTTTGATCATTCTTAGCAGTCCATAGCTTGTCAATGTGGAGCCCCAGTACTGCTGTACTTTCCCCTCCCTGGTTTTCTATCAGCAGTAGATTTTCAGAGCTTTTCAGTGTTAAAGGAGGAGCCAAAATATCTGTGGGAAAGGAGGTGTCTCTGTTAAGTCTCGTGCACCTGAGGAAAGTCCATGTCACACAGGTGATTGATTACAGACCTTCAGTTGCATCACTGTTCTTTCTGCCTTCGTGCAGCTGGTTTAGAGTCACCAGAAGATCTGGAGCTCAGGAATTTTCTCACAAAACTGTAATAAGTTATCACACATTTGTTCTCTGGGTGGTCAAACTTAACAATGCATTTTGCTGGTGAGAGAAAAATTATAAATACTCCAAATAATTTTCTGTAGCTCTTAAATCCCTTCTTGTCATACACCTTTGGGTCTGACCCCTTTAAGTCCCTGGTTAGAGGTCAGGAAGGTTCTCCAGCTGATGGCTGGGCTGTGGAGCAGAGCTGGTTCTGGGATGTGATTTCTTCTTCTTCTTTCACCTTCTTCCTTGTTTAATGTCACCAGCTTTTGGCAGCTTTTAAGGTGAAACAGCTTTTCCTGAGCTCAAACCTTCCTTTCCTCTCCATGTGGGAGTAGATTTTCTGCTGAAAGTCCTGTGCAGGAGCACAGCCCTGTCGGGGAGCACTGCTTCTGCTGGAGTGGGAGCTGGGGATTCCAGGGAGATGTAACTGGATCATTGAGGTGAAGTGAGAGCCTGGCCTGGAGATCCCTCCCTGGGACCAGCAGGGTTTCAGCTTTCAGCTGTTCCCAGCTGAGTCCAGTCCTTGTGTCTCCTGAAGGCACCACCTTGTGCTTTGTCACCGGCTTTCTCCTCTGGTCCCATCCAGGACGAGCAGCAGCAAGGCACCAGGTAAACTTCTTTCCATCAGAGAAGACAGTAGAGATGCTAAACATGGGAATCTTGGTGAGATCATCTCCCCATTTCTTCTTGCTACCCGACCCTTCCCTGTTGGAAATGGGAAGAGTTGGAACCAGCCAGGATTTCCCGTGGTACTCCTGCACAGTGCAGTGAATCCAGGCACTTACCTGATCATTCTTACATTCTGAAATCTATTTTAAGGCACTACAATTAAGTCAAACAGAAGGAAATAAATGTGTTTCAAGAGGAGGTTACTAGGCCTGAATTCTGATCAGCTGTAATTTATATGCAGAGCGCAGCAGTGATGTCCAATCACCTCCTCCAAGGTATGCAAATATTCCATTGTTTAATATCCAGCCTTCCTTTTGATTAGGTGCTTGGAACCACTTTTGGTAATCACAGAAGAGCTCTGAAATTGGGCTCACCAGAATAAGTTCATTAGTGTAACATAACTGAAAATTTAAGCCCACTTAAGCCAGGAAATTCAACATTATTGTCCCAACAGCTTCTCTAAATCAAGTCTTCGGAGCACGTTTAATATCTTGGGTGAAATTAAATAGTGTCTTAATAACTGTGCTCAGGAATTGCAGTAGTGGGGGTGGTACTGTTTTGAACAGGCTCAAGTCAGTAAATTTTCAATATTCAGCCATAACTTTTGAGATGCTCCTGACTTGGGGCAGCTCCTGGGACAGTACAGGGGGAGCAGAGCTGCTGTGTTTGTTCCAGCCCCCTGGACCAAACCCTGCTCACCCCAAACCCTGCTCACCCCAAACCCTGCTCACCCCAAATCCTGCTCACCCCAAACCCTGCTGGCCTCCCTGGACCAAGCTCTGCTCCCCAGGGTGCTCGGGGAGATTTCACTGCTTGAGCACTCAAAATGTGAGTGTGCAGCTCAGGCCTTGACAAGGCAGCATCAAAGTGACTCCCAGTCCAAGGAGATTTTTAGAATTATAGCAAATTCTAATGAAACTTCTTTCTCTTAATCTGCTATCTCATTATTTAAATTGCACAAACACAGAGGAAGTCCTCAGGAAGTGCTGGAGACCACTCCCTGTCCCAAATTCTGCATTTGAAAAGCAAATCCTTTTATAATAATCATCATTTCCAAATTTTCATTTTTTTCTTTAGATTTGAATTACTCTATTAACAGAGTCAAATAAACCAAAACTTAGCTAACACAAGCCCAAAGCACCCTCTTTTCTCAGTAGATTAAGTGCTGAACATCAAAAAATTGTTGGAATTGTGCTTAACATCAAAAAGTTACTGGAATTGTGCAGAAATGAGCATAGCTGCCAGGATGAGCTGCGTGGTTTGAGCCATTCCTGTACCTTTTACTCAGCAGCACTGACCAAAAAGTGCTTTAGGTGGAGTTTGCCAGTGCCTCAGCAGTGTATTTTAATTGCTTTTGAGCAAGTAAAGTGTTTTAAAGCTCCTGCAAGAGAGGCTGGAGGTACATGGAGATATGATTTATGCATTTCTAGCAGGACACTATTTTCACTCTGATTTTTGCTGGGAAGAGAAAGAAAACCCAGGGCCAGAATCTGATTATGGTATTGCCTCAGCATTGGCTTCCACAGAAGATCACTTTTTAAAGAGTGACTGCTCTTACTTTCCTGGCCAAACTATTCCTAGTCTCAGTAAGTTTGTCAGAGTTGTGTTTGCTCAGTGTCCAGGCCGTGGTGGGGTAGAATAACCCAGAGCAACCCTTGGAGCATCATAAATCAGGGGAGCAATTTTCAGTGGGATTTTTTGCATAAAATCTCTCTAAATGCTCCATTTTGCAGCTGCAAGGCTCAGTGCATAAGGACCATTTATTCACTTGAAATATCATTCCCACAAAATAAATGTTTTCCACATTTCTTAAGGAAATTCATTTCCTGACCCAAGAAGTTTCTAGGCTTACAGGTTTCTTCTTCACTGTTCTGCTTAGGTTCCTGTGGTTCTTATCACGGTTTCCTTTTTCCACACTTATTTAATCCATAAATTTTCTTACAAAATAAATGTCCTGATCACTGAGGGCAAGGGGAAAATGTTCTTGAAACCTGCTCATTTGTAAAGCTGGGTTTTCTTTGGCTTCTTCCCTTTGGCTGGAGGCTGGGCTGCAGTTCTTCATCCATTCTCCAGTCAATCTGTCAGCCTCATTCCTGAAAGAGGAGCAATCCCAAATACAACTTCAACCCTTCACCCCCACTTCAATCTTCATTCTTATTTTTCCAGATGTGCTTTTTCCTGATCTTCCTGAAATGGTGAAAAATAGTGTCTTGGAGAGAATTCCCTCTTTATCCTGCACTGCTCAGATGCAATAGGCAAAAAGTTGGAGATGGGAGGAAAAAAGAGTCACAGGAAGAGAAGCAGGTGGCCAGAGCATTTCCTTTTATAGGGAAATAAGTTTTGCATGAATTTCTGAGAGCCTGTCTGCAATCAGGAGTGATTAAAAAGTCCTTTTCCCATAGATGTTCAGAGAAGTTCATGGATGTGGAACTGGGTGAGAGCAGACACCTGCAGGGAGCTGCCTGACTTTCCACTTGGGATTAGGAAATTAAAATTTAGCCCCATTTTCTTCTGTGCCTGGTCCCCAGTGTGTATTTAAGGGGATTTTGTGACCAGCTGCCTTGCCCTGTCTGTGGTCACTCAGCAAGTGTCTCACCTTCGAGTCTGGAGCACTAACTTGGTCTTTCTTAAATTCTGAGACTAAATACAAAGCACTTTAGCAAACTTTCTTGAGCACAAGTGAGTGTTTGGTGGGAGATAATTGGAGTATGTGTGTCTTCCACAGGCTGGGGCTGCTTGAGCCTTCAGTCTTTGCAGGCCTTTTGGATTTGTTCTTCCATACAGAGAGTCTCAGTCCATGTTCTTTGGGAATCTCCCTCAGATTGCTGCCCAGCTGGTTTTATTCTCCTCTTGCCCTGCAGATCCCACCCCCAGGCTGCTTGTAGGGGGTGTTGGGGGATGTTTTTCACCCAAGCACTCCCAGTCTGGGATGATTTTCCTCCTGGGATAAGGAGTGCTGTGTGTGCAGACAGGTCTGTCCGCTGTTCATCCTGTCCTGCACACATCAGCTGTGTGATAAGTACTCAGAGGAGTAAATCAATAGATCTAAATCTCTTAAGGGGGTTGAAATAATGGATCAGTAGAGAAAGGAGCCAAATCCCAAAGGTGAACTGAAGTCAATCCAGGAGCCTTGGTCTGTGTCCTGCATGGAGGAGCTCCTGGAGGGGTGTTGGGAGGGCAAAGCACGTTGATACCGGTGCTGTGCTGTCCCTTCCTTGCTGTTCCTAACAGGGGGCATCTCCTTCCCCTTTTCCTGCTGCCTTTCCCTCCCTTTCCCATGAACTTTTTGGATGTATCCAATTGACTTGTGTATCTTTTCTCTATTTTCTCTCTTTGTTCTCCCCACCTTTGGTTTCTCCTCTGCATCCCACCCTGTCTCACCTGCCCCTTGCTTTTGCTGCCTGTTTCATGTCCCCAGGCTCACGCTGTTGTCCCTCCCCCCCAGCAGGTGCCCAGCCAGGTCCCCGAGCCCGTTCCCCCGGCGTTGGGAGCCCTGGAGAGCTCCCACCCCTCCGGCAGCGCCGCCGGCACCGCGGCCCCCGCCTCCAGACAAGGTCGGTTCATGGAGATTTCCTCCCTCAGTATTTTGAACCATTTATTTTTTCCCCTCCTTTCTTGTTTTAGTTGGAATATTTTTGGCAGGGAGACCAGCAGGCAACAGAAATAGGAGGGGAGGAACTTCTCTTCCTCCAGTGGAACATTTTAAGTGTGTTGCTAAGGCAATTAATTGGAATTTGCTAATGTGGAACTGGTTAAAAATAATTGTCTTCAATCTTCTGTGTCCTAAGCGTTGTTTCAGAGCACACAGAAGGAAGAAACTCCTCTCACCCAAGTGCCATCCTCCAGAACCCCACATGTTGTCAGGGAAACACTTTGGCCAGAGAGGCTTTGGATCATTTGGATAATTAGCCACAGCAGTGGCATGGATCCAGAGGATCATATGGCTTCCCCAGAGCTGCTTGTGTGTCCAGTCCTGTAGGAACGGGCAACATTAACTAGGAAAAAACCCATTAGTGTGCCAAGTGTCTCATAAAGCCCATAGCAGATTTTGCTGACTTTGGTAAAAATGGCACAGATGGAAAGAGTTTCTTAAAATTCCATTTCCTTGGATAACACTCTCAGAGGCACAGGATGGGATCCTTGGGGTCCCTGCACAGGGCCAAGAGTTGGACTCGATGATCCTGATGGGTTCCTGCCAGCTCTGGATATTCCATAATAAACGTTGGAAGGGAGATTTTTTAAGCTGTTCGGGGAATTGTCCCAGGAGGCAACAGAGCAGGCCCAGGCTGTTCCCACAGTGGGATTTGCAGCCATTGGAAGCTGCAGTTCCTGATGTGTGGCAGCAGGATGGCTGCTGGGGTACAGAGCTGACACCACTGTCTGCTTCCCAGTTTCACCCATAGCATCACAGCTTCCTGGGCTCTGCCTGGAGCAGCACATGCAGGGACAGCATGGGGTGCTGGGATTTTTATTTCAGAGTATCCAGAGCATCATGGGGTGCTGGGATTTTTATTTCAGAGTATCCAGAGCATCATGGAGTACCGAGATTTTTATTTCAAATTATCCAGACTCACAGAATCACCAAATTCAGAAAAGCCCTCCCAGATCTTCGAGTCCAGCCCAGCACTGCCATGTTCAGTACCAACCATGTCCCCAGGTGTCACATCCATTTTTTTTTAACACGTTCAGAGATAGTGACTCCACCACTGCCCAGGTTAGTGCCTGGCAACCCTTTCCATGGAGGAATTTTCCCAAAATCCAACCTGAACCACCCCTGGCACAACCTGAGGCCATTTCCTCTTGTCCTGTTGTATATTCCCTGGGAAAGGTTTGCTAGATGAAAACCAAGCCCCAGAGGAGCACAGCCCAGGAGAAGGGGACAAACCAACAGCTCTGGTGCTGCAGATGCCTCGATCCCAGCACAGTCACTGCTGGGGAGCCAAGGATGGTGTTCCTGGGGTTGCTCTTACAGCCACAGCGTGGACATCGGGGTCTCCTTCTTCCAGTGCTGTGCCTTTAAACTGCTGCAGTGGTTGTAAAAGGTTGAAAAATGACCTTTTGGAGCTGGTCTGGTCCCATCTCCCACTTAAAGGCAGGCTGTGGCTCTGTCTAGATGTTGGTGCAAACCTCCAATGTCCCCAGTGTCACCTGAACAAGGCATGGGTGGGTCTGATGTCCTTTGGCTCTGCTGAGGCTGTGCTGCCTGAGCTCCCCTGCCTGTTTGGTGCTGCCCAGCTCTGGCACAGCTGCTCTGCTCTGGGCGTGTCCCCTTTGCCAACATTCCCTGGTCCCTCTTGCTGCCAGGGACCTCTTCTGAGCACACCACGTGGTCACCTGGTGGCACTGGTGATGGCTGAAGTGCATCTGCCCCTGGGACAGAGCTGGGGCTGAGCTGTAAAGCCATGGAGTCACAGAACATCTCCACCCAGAAGGGTCCTGTAAGGATCACCAAGTCCAACACCCTGCTTCTCACAGGACCACCTCTACCACTAAATCATATGTCCAGGAACTCCTTGAACTCTGATCTATGAAAATCCAGCACTTTCCATCACAGTATTTCATCTCTGTGTATGAAAATGTGGATTTCCAGGACAAGTGGGTCTCTTATCCCTCTTCTCTCTCTCTAACTTAATCCCTTTGTAGGCAGCTGTGAGTAAACTGGAAGTAAGTGTGTTTGCTTAGTTACACAGCTCTGACAGTGCTGGTTTAAACATAAAGCAGGGCTTGACTGGGGTTTAACACTGATGAGTTTCCCTGTGTTTATCTCTGTTCCATCCCAGAAAGAGTCAAACATTTGTTCCAGTCCAAAAATTGCTAAAGAGCACATTTATGTAAGCACTGCAGGGAAAGCCCTGGAATAACACTCAGCCATGGCTGGGAGAGCAGGGCAATGTAGGGGTTGGTGTCAGTAATTAACAGAGCCTGTTAATAATATTTAAATGAACTAATGACTTTTGGGGGTTACGTCTGCTCAGAAATCCATGCCAAGGTATCAAAATGATTTTTCACTTTGATGTTGGGGGATTTTTGCTTCCAAATCAAGAGCAGTGACAGATAGAGCTGCATTCAAACCAGTGTTGTTTCTCCAAAGTCCCCTCTGCCCTGTCCATCCTGCAGATCAGATCTCCCCATGCCCTTCCTCTCCTGTGCCCTTTGGCAGCTATTGAAGTTTGGAATCAGGTTTCATTGTGATTCTGTCACACCCAGTGCTGCTTGTGCAGCTATTTCTAACTGTGAGCAGCATCTGGCCGGTGTGCTGGGCTCAGGGTCAGGGTCGGGGTTGGGATCGGGGTTGGGATTGGAGCCATGTGCTCTGCTGGCAGACCAGGATCTGCAGTCCCTGGTGGCTTGCTCTGGAACTCATTCCTGAGGCTGGATTTGGGATTGCATTATTTATATCTGTGGTTGGGTTTTTTTAAAAGACAAGCCTTTGGCATTTTGTAGAATCCCAGAATGGTTTGGGTTGGAGGGACCTTAAAGCTCCTTCCATTCTGACCCCACTGCCATGGCAGGGACACTTCCAGTGGACCAGGTATAGGAACTGCTACTATTAATACCTTGAAGAATCACATCGTTTAGGTGCAAGTTCTGGTTCCTGGAGATGCCCCTGGTGTGTCCATACCAGCCAGGCTGACAGAGGAGAGAGGAGGATACTGCTGGAGAATCCAGGTCAAGCCAGTGGCCGAGCCTGTGGAACCTGGCTGCTGGCCAGGCTGGTGCAGGAGGTGCAGTGGGATAGAACTGCATGGAATCAGAGCTGCCCACATTTTTTCTACTTGCAGAGGTTCAGGGGGATATTTGGAGTAGTATTATCCTCTTTTTAAACCTCTTTCCAAATCTTGCAATGTATCAGACATGGAGAATGTACAACATGGTTTGTGGAAAACAGATGAATGTCAGACCCCGGCGTTTGGAAAGCTCCAAAGCCCCTCTGCTGACACTGAGTCAGTCCTGGTGCCACCTCGTGAGTGTTTGCATCAGGACAAAAGATGGAAAAATGGCAGTGAGCCCAGCAGTTATTGTCAGATAAACACCACAGAGCAGGAACAAATTCCTGTATCCAGTAAACTCTTCCTCGTGCACTGCCCTGGCCAGTCTGTGCCACTGGGACCACCCAGCAGCCCAACAGTGGCTCTTCCATGAAGCCTGCAGTGGGGTCTGTCCCACTGGGTATGTGAAAGAATCTTTAAGGAATAATTTTGCAAAAATTGTATTTATTGGGAAATTTACAAAAAAATCTCTTGATATTTCCTCTGGAACAGCCAGAACTTCCTGTAAATACTTTCTAAATACAACATGAGGAATGATCTCAGAGTATTTAGGAAGAGGGATTTGATCCAGTTGGGATGAATTGCGTTGATTTTTGTTTTCCCTCCCCAACTGTGAGTTGTTCATGTGACTCTCTGTAACAGTTGGCAGGGATGAGTCCTCCTCTGCCAGGACTTGGAGATTTGTTCTCTGGGATGGGGGTTCAAGTTCAGATTTGCTTCTCATTAGCCAAATCTGCTCCTCATTCTCTGAAATCCCTCCTCAAATCACTTTTCTCTGGGATTTTGCACACACAACCTGTATCCATGAGGAGAACATTAGCCAGACAAGGTGTGGTTTGAAGGAAGGGAGTTAAACCTCTGGTTTCAAATGCAGCTGTGGATTTGTGCTGGTTTTATCTCTCAGAATTATTTTCTTAACAATTCAGATGCATTTGGTTGGGTGGGTTTGGTTTTTTTTTTGAGCATTCTCCTTTGACTCGGGGAGAGAATATCCAGGCAGTTGTTTATAGCAAGCTGTAAATGTCAGGAATGCTTCAGGAGTTCCTGCAAAAGATGTTCCAGAAATCAGAGGTGATGTGTTTTCTTTTTCCAAACCACTTCCTGCATCCTTTTCTTCCATGGAGCCTCCAGAATCAAAATCAGCTGTTGGGATACTCTTTCCCATCTCTTTCCTCATTTGTCATCCTGCTCCAAAGCCATGTCCCTGGGTGCCTCATTAGGTTGATAAACTACTGCTTTGGCCATGGGCCTCTGTAATGCTGCTGGGGCTGCTGACGGCTGCAAGCAGAGCTCACTTTTGCTCCAGCTATTCCTAAAGGTGGGATTTGATGCTCCAGGCAGTTTCAAATGGGTTCTCCTTTAAATACCCTTTGGTTCTCCTTCAAAAACCCTTTCCCTTCAGCTGAGCTGTTGAATAAGCCCCAAATGGAAATCCAGCAGAGCCAAACCTGTTCAGTTCTACCTGAATTTTGATGATCTGCAGTTGGTTGTGCCCTTTGACTTCCTAGTCTGAAGAGCAGGTTTGTGCCTCTGGCTTCTCCAGAATGATTTTTGCTGGTGTAACCATGTCCTGAAGGAGTCCAGTGTTCCTGCAAGATCCTAAATGATAATGGCTCATACTTTCATAGCAAAGGAGTGGGAAGCAGCAGAGCTGCAGCAGAGTTTTGGGAGCTGTGTGATGGTCATGGCAGGTGTGTGATCATCAGGTCTGCTGCTAATCATGGGATAAGTGCAGGGACTAATTTCTGCATAGGATTTGGGGGGTTGTGTTGATACATTTCTTCCAAACATCTAATCTAAATATCTCCTCTTTCAGTTTAACCCATTCCCCGTTGTCCTGCAAGTTTTTGTCCATGTAAAAAGTTGCCCTCCTTGCAATGAGTCTCTCCAGATCCGTCTCTTGTCAGGATGGCAGAGGTTGTATTTTGAAATTTAGATTCCCAGTGAGATGCAGGAGCCTCTGGTGCCTTCCTCAGAGCTCCTTGGCAGAATGCAGGAATGGCAGCCAAGGCACCAGGCAGGAACATGGAGTTGCCTTGCTGTTGATAATGGGTTTTTTCTCCTTTCCCAGAAGAGAAGCCAAAACCAGATCCAGTATTAAAACCACCTTCTCCAGTCCTCAGACCAGAACCTGCTGGGGAGAAGAAAGATCAAGCTGGGCAGACGACCGAGGCCTCCCCCTCAGTGGAAACCCCAGCAGAAGTTCCTCGTGCTCCGTCGCCGGCCCCGGCCGCTCCGGTCGCCGCGGCTGCCGCCGCTGTCACCGCGTCCAGCAGAGCCCCGCCCGCGGCTGACCCGGAGGACAAATGTGAACTGGCCTTCCCCAGAGAGGAGGCAATGCCTACCCCCAGTGCCACAGCCTGCCCGGAGCCAGCGGCCCCTCCTGCTGCGGAAGAGCCCGGTGCCGAGGCGTGCACAGAGCCCAGCAGTGCAGTAGCATCCCCCGGTGACGCCCCGGTGGCGCTGCCGCCTGTGCCCGCTGTCACCAGCGACACGGGCAGCGCCGGGGCCGCGGCCGAGCCCGGGGCAGAGGCGGCCCAGGCGGAAGCTGCAGCGTTGACTGTGGAGGTGGAGCCCACCGAGGCCCCCCCAGCGGAGGTGGAGAGCGCTCCATCACCTCCCAGTGCTCCTCTCGCTGCTGCCTCTCCTCCTCCCACCCCGCCGCCCACCCCGCCGCCCAGGGCAGCCACAGCTGCTCTTCCCCTGAGGTGAGCAGTCAGTCCAAGGGCCTGTGGCTCTGCATTTGGGACCCTGAAGCTCTTGGGATGAAGCCTCTGAGGCAGGAATTTCCAGAACTGCTGAAGTGGGGTCTTATCCAGCTGAAAAAATCTGTCATGGTGCTCCCAGATATGGGAAAATGAAATGGACCATTCACACTCACCCAAACAACTGACAACAGAGTCACACCAGGGTGACACCAGGGTCACCCACCAGTCACACACCAGGCTAAAACCAGTGTCACACCAGGGTCACCCACCAGAGTCATCCACCAGTGTCACACACCTCTACCTGCCCACCCTTCATTAGTGATGCTTCTGGTTTTCGTTTGCAAAAGTCACATATAAGCAAAATATACAATTTACAATTTTAAATTTAAAATCTGCAGTTTACAGATTAAAATTCACTAAAATCACAATTTCTGCAACCACCTTTTCAAATCCAGCTTGTTTCTCCAGTGTTTCCTGCCTTTGGTTTCAGCCCTGCCACATCTCTGGTTTGGCACTGTGGTTTTAACACTCTGTGTTTCCTATGGAAAATGGCTTTTTTTTGCAGGACTTCCTGGAGATCACGTTGTGGAAAGGAAGTTAAATGATCAATTCCTTGTATTTGCTGCTGGAGGGGTGTAATGGGGGCTGTTCTTCACACCCAGCAGTGTTAAAGCATTTCATGTGTCACATTTTCTACATCCTGTTCTGCAGTTATTTCAGTTCCTTGGAACTTGGTGAAGCTTGGACAAAGAGGACAAACAGTCAGTTGTGATTTGGATCATGTTGGTTTCATTTTTTTAAAGTAACATTTCATTTAGGGTTTTTTTGGTTTTTTCTTTGATGGATGGGAAATGGGCTCAGAAATCTCAGGCTCTGCTCTTAAATGCACTGAAAGGCTGAGGCTGGCCCTGTTCCATGTTTGTGTGACGCTCAATATGCTGATTTTAAAATTCAGTATCTACAGATGAGAAGAAAGATCCCTTTACTACACTAACCATGAGGATTTTTTCCTGTTAATCTTCTTCTATTTTTATTTCACTCGGGTCATTTCACTGCTGTGGCACTTGTTGTTCTTTCAATCTGAGCTACTTCATAACCCAAATTAATTTCCTTAAAAAGGAGAGGAGAAATGGGACTCTGTAAATAAGGTTTTGCACAGGCAGGTCCCAGCTTGCAGTGTTATTGCTGGCTTTGTAATGGCCTGTAGTTTAAATTAAAAAAAAATTAACTTACAGTGTTTGGGCTTTTAATTATGCAGAAGATTAATTTTAATGCTGTAATGTCATTATGCTCCAGAGCACACATTAGCCAAGCCATTGGCTTTGGCAACACGGAAACAAGGAGTTCTCAAGTCATGTAAAAGATGACTTGAAACTCAGATTTCTATTAAAAGCTCAGGGCTTCAAAGAAAGCACAAAGCTCTCCAAGTGGTTCTTTGTGCTCTACCCCTGATTTAATGATCCCGAACTATTGCATTTCTCTGCCAGCCTTCTTTTCAGCAATGATTTTCCAGTTCTTTCTTGGAGAGAGAAAGATTGAAATAACATCATCTGAGGCTGCCTGCTAATTCAGGAACAAGGAACAGCATGTCTGCCATATACATTGGAAAATCCAGATGCTGACCCTCAGGAGCAAGGAGAAAGGGTTATATTGTTGTGTTTTTCTTGGACTAAAGGCTGAGAGATTTTTTTATGGTCTCTGGAGTTAAGATTAAACCTGGGATAAGGGAAACTTCTTAAGCACGTGCTGGTAGCTGTGAGCTCTCTGACTTTCAGCAATATTTCTTTGGGGTTTTCAGCAGAATGGTGTTTTTATTACAGAGCAGCTTGGCCACAAATCATGTCCCTGCTTTCCCTTTAAAGGGAGCTGAGCTGGGCTGGCTGGGACAGTGCTGGGACCTCTCAGGATAATCTCATTCCTGCAGCAGCTCCTCCTGCCTGTCCTTTTTGTAGCTATGACCTGGCCTGGCTGATTTTGGGAATGAAACCTTCATCCCCTCCTCCTTGAGCTGCTGGGGCAGCACTGCCAAGACTCCCGGGTGGATCCACTATTTTGCACTGGAGGTGGCAGCTTTTTGGGGATGAGCAAAGGGATTTGCCTGTTCCTGGAGAGTTTTACAGGACACAGCTTCTGTCCAGCAGTCAGGGAAACCAGACTTGGATTTTTTGCTCCGTCGAGCTCTGTGGCAAGAAAGAAAATACATTCAGACCCTTAAATATCTTTATGTGTAGCAGTTCTTTCTTCATAGCTGCACCGAAGGACTTTGTCAGTGTTTGCAGGGAAAGGCCAGAGCTGAGTTAATCCTGTGGGGATCCAGGGGAACCTCCATTCCTCCTTTTCCACTGGCATTAGGTCTCTACCAGATTTCCAAGGTCAGGGGATTCTGCTGGAGCACCCTTGTTGTATCTTACACTGAATTCTGCCTGCTCTGAACACCCTCACAATGAAGTTGGAAGCTTTGGTGGTTCAGTCTGTGTGTCTGTGAGTGACTGGATCATCATTCCCTGCTCATCAGCATCACTCCTTGTGCATCCTGATGAAATGGGGAAGATTTGGTGGGTTTCAGAGCACTAAACCACTGAGCAGTGCAGGGTGTTGTACCCAGGGGTGGTTCCTTGCTGCTGACCGTGTTCCTGGTCCGAACATCCAAAGGGAACACGTTCCCCCATTCTCAGGGCACAGATTGTGTTCCTGCCTCCTCAGGAAGTTTTGCCTGAAGTTTTTAGGACAGGCAGAGCTGTTGTCTGGAAGGGGCAAGAGCACATGCTTTTTACAGTAATTGATTCCTACTCATCTGCTCTACAAGGAAAAGAATAGCTCATCAAGAGAGGACCTGGGGGCTCCAATCCACACTAAAAACATCACCTTGGGTAAAAGTCATCAACGACTGTTGCTTTTTGTTAAATTCTGGGATTTCCGTAGCTACAGTGAGGGACCAGCACTTTCCAGGCAACAAAACAGGAAAAGTGTTGTTGTTGGAGTAGAATTTCTGCAGAAGGTGCTACCAGAGACCTGAGGCCTTTGATGTCACCATTCTATCATGGCTATTAAGAGAAGCAAGGAGGAAAACACGAGACTGATGTATGTCCCAGACAGAGCTCCTTGGGACACAAGAAGCTGAAAGAACTTAATGCACATGGGATTCAAAGGGCTGTTTCTTGAAGAGCTCATTTATGAGACATATTTCTGTATTAAGTAGCCCAGCTGTGGCGAGTCCTGGAGTTTCTGAGCTGAGGAGGCTGTAACAAGCAACTTGGACTGTAATTGGAAATACCTTGGAGAAATTTCTCCAGCACCGAAACCTGGAGAGGCAGAAACATAAATCAGGTGTCGCCTTTTTCTTGATTTGTTGCCATAACCACTGGAATATATTTTCTTTTCCATGAGCTGGAAGGCAGTGGTGAATCTTTGCTTTGGTCTTTCATGGCATGTTGAATAATAAAATAAAAATGCAAGAGCTGGGATTAATTTAGGCTTCACAGTTGGCACCACATCAGAGGGGAGAGGCCTCGTGTCCCGCTGGATGGGCGTGAGCTTGCGGGTGGGTAAATCCTGTGGGAAGATGTTCCACTGGGAACGTGACAGAGCTGGAGAAATGGCTGAGGGAGCGTTGGGCCTGCTGAGCAGATCCCTGCAGGGGTGGGGGTAGCACTGGGAGTGGTGTCCAGGGTAGTCTGGAATTAAGGGTTTGCTCCTCTTTCCAGTCCTAAAGTAAATCTGTTGTCCCTCCTGTTATCTCCCTTGGCTTTGGAAGCTGTGATAAGAGCTCACACTATTGCTTGGGTTTCTGGTGTCCCTTCTTCAAAGGAATGAAATGAGCTGAAAACGAGGTCTGGAAGTATGAATAGTGGCAAAAATGAACCTGCATTTGGGCAGGACTTAAACTACTGGAGAGAACATGAAGTTGCTCAACTTGGGGACAGGAAAATGGAAAAGAAGACCAGAAGCATCTGGAGTTGTCCCTTTCCAAGAGCCAAACTGGACACATTACTTTCTATTTCCCTACAGCCTCACAGATGAAACTTCATCTTCAGGTGAATAACGCCATTGTCCTGTTGGATTTGGAGTTTGGGAAGGTTGGCACCCAAACTCACATCAGTGCAAATTCTCCTTTGAGCTCCTGCAGCAGAAATGTGAACTTGACAGAAAAAAAAGAAATCTGGTGTCTGCTATTTTAAGAGGGGGGAAGACTGAGCAATGTCTCCAGAGATCTCTGGAGATCCATCCCAGGCAGCTCCACAGCACGGCCGGGGGCTGGAGCCCCGGGCTGATGGAAGTCGTGGGATTTAAGGCAAGACTCATTCAGGAGGCTTGGCAGGATTGCAGCCTCTACAGAGCTTACTATTGCCAAAAAAAGGTGGAAAGAATGTATACTTGAGCAGCAGTAATGTTCACATCCTGACAGCTGAGGAAGGAAACACCCCGGACCTTTGCCAGCCCCAAATCCATGACCCCTGAGTTTATTTCTGTGCGGTTGAAAACGAAATGTTACTTTACACTGTGATGGTTTCCATGGTTTGAGTTTGAGGGCAGTGGAATTCTGTCAGATTAAAAACTTTGGGATTGATCAATTAAATTACTTGGCTGTGGCAAAGCTGAGGCTGTTGCTTTGCAGGCCTAATCCCTTCTTGGAGAAACCCCTGGGAGTGTGCAAGTGACATCACCAAACAAGACTGAAAGCAGCCCTTTGAAAAGGGCTCAGTTTTCACTGAATTCTTAGCAGATTTTGTGATGGAGGGAACTGGGGAAGCCTGTCTTAGATCTGTGCTTTGCTGAATTCCAGAAATTACCATATGCATGGACACTGCTCATCCCCAGCCTTGGTTTTGCCCCCGATAGTGGGAATAACTGGGCTGTTCTTGCCAAGGAAGCTCCTGGAGCAGAAGTAAAGGCTGATCCCTGCTGGGGGAGACAAAGTTGTGTTGCAGTCTGGGCCTGCTTGGCCCTTCCTCTCCCCTCCTTTGAGCCCCAGGAAATTCAGGATTTGTGCTGGGGCTCTGCCCTGCCCTTAAAACCTCTCCATAGGGAGACACAATGGATGGGATGGGCAGGACCTGGAGCTTGGGAGATGTGGGTGATTTTTCCAGCCATTGGTTCTCTGAACAAGGAGATGATGTTTGACTACTTAAATAAGACTTTACTTTTTAATTGACTTTGCTTTTGGGGTGTTCAGCCTGAAGGTAAAAGTCTTCCATCAGCGCTGGTAGCTCCTGCTGCTCTTTGGGCTGGGGTCTGGATGTGGTGATTCCCACAGGATTCTGCAGGTCCATGGTCACCCTCCAAACAGGGAAACACTCTGGAGAAGCCACAGAAACTCATATGTATACTTTGGGGCAGGGGGAATGCAGCAAATCCCATCTGCTCCGTGCCCTTAGGAACAGAGCTGACTGTTACTAACTCTTCTTATTTATAGTGAAGAACCTTTCAAAATTCTATTTTATTGTGATAAAGGAAGTGCACACTGGGTTTTTCCGCAGTGTCTGCTGGAAACCAAAAGCCAGAGCTGGAAATCTGTTTGCAGTAATCTTCAGTTACAAAATCAATTCCATTTACACTCTGTTAATTGGGCATGTGTGCCTGGGATCCGAATTTAAGCTGGGAGCATTTGCCACAAATTAGGAGCAGATTGGATTAATGGGTTTGTCTCCTCTTAATATATTGTGTGGTTTCTTCTACCCTTTAGGGGGAAAACACTATTGGAGTAAATCAGTGCTGATCTTGGGAATACTCTGGTGTTTCCTTTGACTCAGTTGGCCAGGGAGATCATTAATGCTGGAGTTACAACCTGCTTTTAAATTGAAATATAAATGCATCTCAGAGCAGTGCTGCAGGATTGAAGGAGTTTTCCTTTTGGATGAGATACTGGAAATTTGGGCTTGCTTATGGTTAATATATAATGATGATAATTCTTGAGAAAGATATGTTGAGAACAACCTTCTCTTCCAGCCAGCACCTGATCTTTCCAAAAACTTGACTTCCTGAAGGTTTTTTTCCCTGCATGATCCTTGTGCTGTTGGCAGTGACCTCCTTGCTACCCCAAGTGCCATTTGGAGCTTGAGTGAGCAACTTGAAGAACAATTCCTGTGTTTTCATGTCATTCTAATGATTGTTATTGCTGCATTGAAAGCCAAAGTGGTTGAATCAAGCTGAATCCTCCACAAGGCTGAACTGCTTTGTTGTTCTGTGCCTCAGAGCAGCCCCTGAGAGGGAAGATCATCACCCACAGCCCCATCAGCCCCGTGTCCTTCAGGGTTGTAACAGATGCACAATGTTTACATTGCAGCCCAAACCGCTGTACCTGCACCAAAGACCTGGAAGAAACCAAAAGACCGGACCCAAGCCACTGAGGAGGTGACAGAGGCAGAAACAGAGGTGAGAGGGAGCCAAAGTCCTGCTTTACCCACATTTAAAGGTGCTGTTCCTCTCTGGAAATTGTACTTTAGAAACTGCTTCCTCATTGTCTCACAGGATCCAGGGCAGTTTTGGGGAGGAACTCTGCTATTCCTCAGTAGAAAACAGGTGTCAGTCTGCTCCCTTTTAAAGCTCTTCAGTTTTCTTCGGGTTTGCCTCATTTAATGACTAATATAGTCATAAAATCACAGACTGGTTTAGGTTGGAAGTGCCCTTAAAGACTCATTCCATTCCAATCCCTGCCATGGCAAGGGACACCTTCCACTGGAAGGTTCCACTAAACATCCACCACGCTCCCAGCACTGAGGAACTCCTTTCAGTGAAGAGTGAGGGAAAACTGGGTTTGGATCCCTCAGCACTGCCCCATTTTGGTCCCAGGCCACCATCCTGACATTTGTCAGGTTATTCTGCACAAGAATATCATGGCCAAGGATAGTTTTCCTGATGACCAACTGATGGAGAAGCTGATAAAGGAAAATGCTGAAGTTTTCAGGCAAAACCACCTCAAGAGTGATTAGATGAGTAAATAAAACCTCCCTCAGTGCTGTTCTGGTAGGGATATTGCAGCAGAGGGCTGTGCTTAATATCCTGGGTCAGTATGGGGTTAGAATCAATCAGAAAGGGAGCAAGAGAGTAAAAATGTAGAAGTTCAGACTGCCCAGTGTGTGGATAAAAGCTGAGGTTGGCCAGATGTGATGCAGAGCAGGAGAGCAAAGGGGCTACACCAGCTGCTTCATCCTCCACACTTTCCTCATCCTCCCCTGCAGAAGTTGTGTCTCCTGCAGTACCTGGCAGTTCCACTGAGGAATTCTTCAGAGAATTCCCTTGAAAAATCTGCAAGAGGCGTTTTAGGATGTGGTACAGTCAGGTAGGGAGGCAAAGGATAGGGAGCCTCCTCCAGAGCATCCTCAGTGAGGTTATTCCTTTGTTCAGTGCTAAGAGGGGCTGGGATTTCTCCCGGGAGAAGCACATTCCAACGCCTCCTCGTCTGAGTGCACAATCAGGCTGTGTCCTTGGAGAGCTCTAAAATTAACAGCCAGGGATACTATTAATGCTTTTTCCTGAAACTGAGATGCTGGAATTGTGGCTGGATCTCACTGCCTTCCTTAGTGGCATCTGCTCCAGTTGGCAGCAGGCATTTAAAGGAAGAATCCCCCAAAACAAGCACCACGTGCCCTTTACCATCCCTTTCTCATGGATGGCAGGAGAAGAGAAAAGCAGAGTTGTGTTTCCAGGCTGGGATTGCTCATGGCTTAACAGTTCCCTCCATCCAGTCCCATGGGGATTGCATGGGCAATGCTGAGTCTCTCCAGCTGCACCATTAATTATCAGTGGGTTATCCATGGGAATGAACAGATAAATCACCCAGTAGCTCAGTGTGCTGTTCCATATCCCTGTGTAAGATGCATTTGTATTCCTGCTGCTCCCAAAAATGCCTTGTGACTCCATGAAGAGCCATTACACGTGCACTGAATTTGTCAGGGTGTTTCTAACAAAACCTCTGCTTCTGTCCATGCTCCAGCTGAAGGAGGAGGAGGAACCTTCAGGGGACAAAGTACTTGAATCTGATCAGGAGAAAATGAGCCATGGGCTTCAGCCAGAGAGGGAACCCTCAGAGCTCAAAGCAGTGAAGAGCATGGAGGAGAACGGGGAGCAGGAGGCAGAGCCGGTGCGGAACGGCGCCGAGAGCGTCTCGGAGGGCGAGGGCACCGACGGCACCTCCGGCTGCACGGAGAGCTCTGGGGAGGGCTCTGTGTACCAGTACAAACCAGGTAGGTCCTGCTCCATCTGCTCCTCTGCCTCTCCCTGCAAGGGCTGCTGACACCACGAGTGCCTTCCCCTGTGGGTGTTCCCACTGGGGCTGGAAGGGGATTCAGTGTTCACCGTGTGCAGCTCTGCCGAGATCTGCAACCCAGCAGGCCCCGAGAGATCTTCCAGAGGGGCAAAAGGGGAAAAGGGTTTTTGTCTTGCTGGTCATGCTCAAGAGAAGAGAAAATCACTAATTCCTTGAAATTTCTGTGCATTTGGATGTTAGCTACAGCACTGTGGAAATGGCACAGTTGATTCCTGTGTGATCAACAGCTGGAAACCATCCAAGAAATTCCACATAAACCAATAGACTTCTGAAGTAAGAGGTGGTTAAATAAGAAATGAAAGTGCTCATTGGGTCCTAAATACAAATATATGTGTTCATAAAGATTTAATTTCCTGGCTAAGCAGTTGCATGGATCTTTGGATTTCTAGAAAAGTAAGGAAAAGAAGCAGTTTGTGGTTTTCAATCCAGGCACTGCCCAGTTCAGTCCCATTGATTAGGGTATAGGATATCTATAGAGCGTTTTTGTTATTTATGAAAATTTTGTTATTTATAGACCTGAACCTCAATTAATCCACCTCATTTAGAGAGAACTTGAGACAAACTTCTCAGTTGCTCCCAATTTTTAAGCAATTTCTTATTCAAGTGAAACTCTCTCCAAATAATCATTTTTTTATGAGCCCAGAAATTACAGACTATAATAATAATAAGGAAGGACTTGGAGAACCTGGTGGACAAGGAGCACCACCATTAAGGGACTCCACTGCAGTGGTTATTTGTGCACCACTTTGTTCTGACAAAGACCTCAGTTGCTTTGGTTTTTTTAATTCAGCACAATCATATTGTAAGGGGAAAACACAGAGGCCTCTTGATAGCTCATCACGCTCAGGGTACTTGAACAGTTCACTAGCCACTTCCTGAAGTTAATCCATAATTCATCAGCTGATGCAGTCAGAACAATCCCAGTTGTGTCCAGGTGTCCTTTCACTCAGCTGGAAGGGTTGGATGGATTCCTGACAAAGCAAAGGACATCAGACTTGTGCAACAGTCCTCGATTTCAGCTCTGCTGTTCTGAGAAAGGGGAATTTGTGCCTTTGGAGGAACTGTGTGTTTGATCCCTGGCTCTCCCTGGATGGGGGATCCTTCCTGTGATGCTGCCCAGCTGCTCTTCACATTAAAACAGCTCATTGAGAGCTTTCCAGGAGAAGGAAACTACACCTAAACTGCTTGTTGTTGTGTTGGAGCTTTTCCATGGTAATGACAGGTACAGTGGGCAGGCCAGGAATTCCAGCCAGGATCCAGCCAAACCATTTCTGCACCCCTGTATCCTGAAGCTCTGGAGAAATAAAACTGCATAAAGAGCTAAAGTTTGCAATCACTTCTGTGTATTTTCATTCCCAGTTATTAAAAGCCATCATTGGAGTAAGTCCCTGCTCGTGCCCTCTGCAGGGGTGCAGATGGTGAGATCCCAGAGATCCAAAGCCAGGGGTCAGGGAGTGAAATAAAGGAATAATAAATACCTGAAGGGCTGATGAATGCTGAGTAATGCAGTCTGGCATGAGGGAGATCCAAAGGCAGTATCTCATACAGATGTTTTTCTTCAGATAAAACATATTTTCTTCCCTAATTTCAAACAAACTGTGTGGCCAGTGCTGAAAATCCTGTCTCCAGGCCACCAGAGGCTAACTTTCCTTGTGCTAAAGTGGCTGTAGGTTTATGCTGTGATTTGCATCAGCAGGGTACGCCACACCCCAAAAGCCCCATGTAAGATAGGTGGAAAGTTGTAATTCCTAGATCATGACCTGTGGTTGTGGCTTCTCTTGTTTCTGCTTGTTGTCTGCAGCCTGGGATGTTCACAGTTCATGGTTTCACATTTTCAAAGGGTGTTTTTGTTCCATGCTCTGCTCTCCTTGACTTCACGTTTATGACTTCCTTTTACACCAGACAAACCCCCTTATCTTCTGCATTTTCACACAGAAACAGGGAATTGTCCCCATTCTACCATGTCCCACAGGAGAGCAGAAGTCAAAGTTAGATACGTGGGTTAGAACTGGAATTAGTGACCAGATCTGGGTGTGGTTGGACCTGGCTCTACACTCCCTGTTGTTCACATCCCTTTAATCTTACATGTGTTGCCCTCCTCTCTCCCTTCAAAATTAAAATCAAATCAAATTGAAATGTCCCAGGCTGGTACAGCAGCCTCATCCCTTTGGATTTACCAGAAGCACATGTGGGTGAGCAGGGGGTTTGTTTCCTGTGACTCTCAGGGACTTCTCTCCCTATAGAGCAGTGGAAGCCCCTGGACCCGGAGGGGAAGAAGCAGTACGACCGGGAATTCCTGCTGGATATCCAGTTCATGCCTGCCTGTATCCAGAAGCCTGAGGGGCTGCCTCCCATCAGCGACGTGGTGCTCGACAAGGTGAGAGGAGAGCCCATAAAACAGGTATGTGCAGGGTTTTGATATAAATAAAGATCCATAATGCCTCATTCCTGAACCATTTCCGTGTCAGGTTTCAGTGGGAAGTAGGAATAGTTGGTCTCATCACAAAATTCTACAAATAGAGGTGTTGGTGCCTGATGAATGTGCACAGATGATTAAAAACTGAAGTGTTTTTGATAGTCTTTATCTAGATTAAGTTATACCAGGATGTTATTAAAATTTAAAATTACCCAGCCATGAAGAGCTGAGGATCCAAGCAAGGCTGGATAGAGAGGCAGTGGCTTCTATTAGATCATATAATTGATCTATTAGATCAATTAAAAAGCAGAGAGAAGCTTTTGGGCAGACTGTTTTTTGATCTGAAGCAGTTTCTTCACTATTTATAAGCTGATCTAATAAAAGATCTTTAAGAACTCCATTCTCAGGCAGTTTTGGGATTTCTCTTCAGCCTCATCTCAGAGCTGATTGTGTCTGCTGGAGGTCTGGGCTTAGTGAAACACTTGGCATTTCTGAGTGCTGACACCGAGGCCTCGTTCTGCTCTCCCTGAGAGCTGGAGAGTTCCTTGGCTTTGATGGAACCACGACAGCCTCACTCTTGAGACTCAGGGATGTGGGATCCTCGTGTGCAGAAACATTTCTGCTCTGAGTTTCATACCCAGGCAAATTGTAAAATGCAGCTTTATTGCCAAAATTATTTCATCTACCTTCTACTTTCCCATGATTGTTCTCACTGTTCTGTGTTTGAGCTTCCTGTGCTCAGTTGCCCATCTCTCATGTTGGCACAAAAGCCATTGCTTTGAGGGAAGGTGGCAATTTCATGCTCCTGAACCAAGACAGGCCCATGTTACTATGATTTTATCCTCCATAATGTTTGAACTGTTTCTGAGCTCCACCAATTTCCTCAATAGTCTCCTGAAGACGTGTTTTAAATTAAATGTTTATTTTTAGCGTAAGTGTGGATAGCGATAAGTGTGGATGCCTAAAACTTGAGGAGTTTGTTAAAAGCTTTAATTTGGCTGTTGAATATGACTGTCATGGTTTAGCAGATGCTGTCTGTAGATTGCATGACCTGAGCAGCCCCTGTCTGTGTGCTCTGCTCACGGCACAGGTCAGTCAGCCCAAGTTGCCGCTGAGGACTCTGGACCCCCGGATCCTGCCACGAGGCCCCGACTTCACGCCAGCCTTTGCTGATTTTGGGAGGCAAGCCCCTGGGGGAAGAAACGTGTCTGGAAGTGTGAGTTTGCCCCAACTTGCTCATTTAAAAACTGGCCCTAACACTGATGAAGTCCCTTCTCAGGCTTTTGGGCCTCTTCCAATGCGCCAGTGGTTCTAGTTTTGTCGGGATAAATGCAGGGGTGATGTTTGCTTGGCTGACAAATTGTGGGGGAATTGGAAACAGTTGTGGATGTTTGTCACGGGTAGCTGTTGTTTGGGAAGGGTTCATCTCCTTCGTGTTTCCCTGTGTGAGAGGTGGAAGTGTTTCCACACCAGGACCCGGCAGTCGCGTGTGCGGTCGCGCGTTCGTCGTACAACAGACCCGGCGTCAGTGCGTCAGCCTGGGGGCTGTGCTGCAAAACACACCCACAGAGCAAAGAGATTTTACTAACAAACAATGTACAGCCAGCACCTGTGTGTTCCTGCTTTCTCTGTGCTTCCACATGTTGCTTTGGTCACTTCATTCCTTGCTTTCCCACCTTTTCCGCTGCTTTTCTTTCATTTTCCCTTCTTCTCCCTGTGTCTGGCTTTGCCCGCACTCTGAAATCCCTCTGTGAGTTCTTCACTCATGCCTCTGCCATGTCTTTTCCTGGGGCACAGGTGACCCCAGCATGTTCTACCCCGTCAGTGCCACTGGAGGAGGACGCTGCCACCGTTAGAGGCAATCACTGATTTTCAGCTGTTGAGCTGCTTCTGCTGTGTCCAACGACACAGCCATTGTGGAACTTTCAAATCTGCTGGTTCCAGAAGAGTTCTCTGAATCACTCCAACTTCCAAGTGTGCAGGTTTCCAGGAGTCAAACCCAGTGATTTTGGGTCAGTGTAATAGTTCTGGTTTGGTAGCAGCCTCGTGGCCGGTGCCTCAGTTCTGGGTTGCACACCTGTGTCCTGGAGTTGCCTCAGTGCCACAGTTTCTCTTGGAGCACCACCTGGTCCACAGAGCCTCGCGAGGTCGGCAGTGCCTGCGGCGTTCGGGCCGCGCCGGCTGTGCTGCGGCGCCTCCTCTCCTGTCAGCGCTGAGCGTCGCGAGCCCCGCGGCGCCCGGGTAACGCGGCTGTCGCTCTTTGTCTCTCCGCAGGCCTGCAAAGTGCAGAGCACCCCTGGATTGCCCTCCCTGGCTCGGTGCGGGCCCCCATCATGCCCTCTCTTGGTCTCGCCTCACCCACCATTGAGGAACCTGCCGATAGGGGTAAGCCAAATCCCCCCCTCTCCCCCCAGACTTTGCACCTTTTTGTAGAGTTGCCTTTTTTCCCAACACCCGCTGTTGATAAAGAACGACTGGCAGAAAACTTTACAAAAAGGTGCAACCTTGTTTAAAAAAAACCGAAACAAGACTTGCGTTGTACCCCTCTAGGCAGTCTTCAGTGGTGGGTGGGACATCACCAGCTGAGGGCATGCTGGGACGTTGGCCCGAGCGGGATCCGCGAGGGTCTGCACTTTGCAGACCTGTGGAAAGGGGGAGAAAAGGTAAGTCCTGCTTACCCCGTTCATTTGGAGCATTCAGCACGTAACATACATCTTACATTTGCGCCTTTGCAGAGCAGAGCCTCTCCTTGCCTTGTTCTGGAGGAGGGCTGGAAGGTGACGTGGTTTAACCAGCCTGTCCTCGACGCCGGCGGTTGTAGGATCAGAGGGTTCTGAGCCCAGCAATGCCAGACGTTCCCCTCTCGTGACGCATGGCCACCCCTGCGTGTGCGCTGCCTGTCCCCAGCCATCCCACCTCTGCACAGGCCATGCCATGAACCATCAAACCACTGCCTCTTCCTTGCCCCAAATAACGTCGAGCAGCTCAGCGCTAACTGCTTCCGGCACGTTGAGAGTCTTTTGTTTCGCTTCTTTGGCTTTTGTCTTTGTTTCCCTCTTTTTGCTTGAACGTGTTTTATGACTGTCTCTGGCACTAACCAATGTTGCGTCGGACGGCAGCGGGGTGGAGTTGCACAGGACAGGATGGGAAGGCTCTTTGGTGTAGGCAGGGTTAGGTGAGCGTGGCAGATGAGGAGATGCAAACTCAGAGATGTGGGGCTGTAGTGGACGGGTCCGTCCTTGCACCGGCTGCGTTGGCTTTGTCCTTCTGAGAGGTGATGGAAACTGAAATCACCTCAGTTCTTGTTTCTGGAAGGCACAACCCCTCCCATCATCAAAGATCAATTTCACTGTCTGCATTCAAAGCCTCTTACAGAGGGAGAAGCACTTCCTTAATTCCTTGGATGATTTCTAAAGTATTTCCATGACTTGCAGCCTGAGTGGGAGCACCAGGCCAGTCTATGCTGCTGTGAGTCTTTGGCTCCTCTGCAGGAGTCCTGTACCTTTGTTGTCCTGCTTTCCTTTCCTGTGTCTTCCTCTGGAAGAGAGGTCATTCAGATTAATGCAGGAACACCTGGTACTTGTCCCATGCTCCAGAGCCATCATTATTTACAGGAAGCCAGGCCTGAGCTCAGGCACCTCTTTAACTTGCTGTATAAATCTGGAGCCAAAAACCCCAGACCCCTAGACTACTTCTCTTAAAAGTTAGATCCATCTATTATGTTATTACATCTTCAAAGGATGCTTCTGTTCACTGATTGAAAACCTAATCACACAGTTTGAACTGAGTTTATTCACAGATATTAAAAACATACAGTCTCAAAGAAGGCCTTTGTTGTGTTGATGCTTGAAAGGTCTGGGCTCAAAGGCAGCCGTATGTGAGGAGGTTACAGGTGACACACTGGTGCTCCGTGCATCCCTCAGTTTTCCAAGGGAGTCACCTCCCTCAGGGGTGGATGTTTGCTGAAAAGGAACATTTGCATGGACCCGTGCCTGAGGAAGTTCTGTGCCTGAGGAAGTGCCAGCCTCTGCGACTCTGTCCCCGTGCGTTACAGCCTGGCGTGTCTGGGAGGTCCTTCAGACCAGAGCTGCCTCTGTGCAGGAGATGGAGTGGCTGCACGTCACCTCTCCTTGGCTTTGCCCCGTTCTGGGGGGAGTGAGCTCAAAGGTTTGGGATTTCAGGGCACACTGCAGCCTGGCTCTGATTACAGAGCTGTCCCCAGGCAGGAGGTGTGTGCTGAGCTCTGGCACACGTGGCTGTGGCCAGTCAGTTTCTGTGACATCATTGTCTGGTCTTTCAGCTGGAAGGAAGTGTCTTCTCTCCACATTGGCAGCGTGGTCAGAGCCTGGGCAGCAGAACTGTGTAACACCAGAGGTGGTGTGTGTGGCAGGGCTGCTGTCAGACCTTGCTGAGCCAGACTGGTGTCAGTCAGGGCTCAGGGTGGGAGCAGAGAGGGGAAATAGGGAGAGATCAGTGTCTGCTTTAGGAAGGTGTCTGACACACGGAAACATCCTGAAGGCTCCCTGTTCCACTGTTGACTCCTCAGGAGTGATCAGCTGCTGTGGTTGCGCTACAAGTGGTTGGACTTGATGATCTTGGCGATCTTTTCCAAGATAAATGATTCTGTGAATTACAGCATTTATGGGGCTTGTGCCCTGTGCAGTTTGAATAATCTGCTGGGCTATTTCTGTGCATGGCAGGGGATGTGAACAGGGGTCTTTGTAAGTTGAGGGGAGCCCAGTGACACCCTGCCCCTCAGAGCCCTCTCCCAGGCACCACTGGGAGCATGTCACTCCTCAGCATGAGGTCATTGTCTTCTGACAACATCTTCCTCTGTTGCTGTTATCCCGAACAAGAGCTCCAGCACTGCTGGTGATCCTACTCATTTGCACACATTTACCTTGTCAAAGGCAGGTGGTTCAGTTCCCTCCTGCCTTTAAGAATAATTTTGCCTTTCAGTAACCACCAACCCAGGTTTGTGGCTGATGTATGACATAAGAGGCACCAGCCAAGCGCCCTTTCCTCCTATTCACTAAAGCTCTTCAAGTAACTGCAGTGGTCTTTTTGATGCTCATTGAATCCCTTTGTTGAACAAAGCAGTCTTTGAAATGGCCCATCTTCCATGAGTGGCTGCTGAGCAGATTAATTAGTGCTGTGGGAAGTACCAGGTTTGATAATGGAGTTTTGCTGCTTTAATTTGTACCTTGAGGTTGGCCATTTGTGATAAGTGAGTTCAGAAATGTGAAAGAGTGTGGGGGAAGAGCAACCTCCCAATAGCATCTGGTACTGTTAGTCCTTAATCAGATGATGGAGAGGAGGTTTGGGGGTGTCTTGTCCCCTACCCTTGTACATCTGGTGAAAAACTCCCCAGCAGTGGCAGGTTTTGTGCCTGTTCAGGAGGACCATCACATTACACAGGATTGCAGAGGTGCTTAGGCAGTTCCAAAGCACCCTGATTCCCTTTCTTCTGTGAAACCACCCAGAGTTTGTCCATATCTGTTAGGATCCATATTTTTCAAGTGTAGCAGCTGCAGTGATACTCCATCACTGTGTTTTACATAATTCCCATCTCAAAATGGCTTTGTTGGAAGCAATCTCCAGTAAAACTTAACATTTCTGGCAGAGCTGCCAGTTTGTCATTGTCTAAGTGCTTGGGATGGCATGTTTGAAATACACCTGTAAGGGCTGAATTCTTCCACAGCTTGCTGTGGTGTCTCACAGTTATGCAGTTTCTGATCCCAAGAGGCACTTTTGGCCAGTTGGGGTCAGTTCTGCCAGGTTCTGCTGGAATCCCAGCACCTGGAGCGCCACCGGGTTGTGTAGGTTGTGTAGGCAGAGTCATCCCATCTCTCTGTTGGGAAGAGCTGCCCAGAGGAATGTGTTGGGTGTCTCCACATTCCCTGGGAGCAGCCCGGAGCAGTGCTGGGTCAGAGGGACTCCTGGTGTCCCAGCAGGACGTGCTGGTGGTCAGTGGTGCCGTCAGCGGGTGTTGGTGTTGGCCTGGATGTGTTACCCAGCGTGAGCTTAAAGTGGGATATAACAGGGAATGTTTTTGTCCTAGTTGTTGAATGTTGGACCGAGGAGATCTCAGCCAGGCCAGAGGAGGGAGCCCAGGAAGATCATCACTGTGTGTGTGAAGGAGGATGTGCACCTGAAGAAGGCAGAGAACGCCTGGAAGCCGAGCCTGAAGAGGGAAAACCAAACAGAGGACCCAGAAAATGTCAAAACCCAGGTGAGAGCCTAAGCAGGTCTGAGGGTGCAGCAGCTGCCCCAGGTAGTGGTAATTTGGCTTCCCTCTTGTATCAGACAGTGAAAAAGGGTAATTAATTCCCGTTGGAATCCCAGTTTTCCCCTACCTTGATGGTATTTTTTGTGTGTTTATTCTTGACCTGGTGTTTAAATGCCAGTCCTGTATATTAAGCAGAGAACACCAGACAACCTCCTGTCTCTCTTCCAGGATTGCTTTCCTACTGCTGTTTTACTGGAATGTTTCTGTCTCGGTTCTAAAGCAATTACATTCCTTACATTCCCAGCACAGAACTTAGTTTTCATCTCCTTTTAGATCACATTTCTTCCCTGAATCCTCAGCAAGACTGAGGCACCAGCCAAGAGCCCTTGGCTCAGCAAGACTGAGGTTCCTCTGTGAAATCCCTCAGTTGGTCCTGCCCAGCCCAGTGGTTCTGTCTGAAGCTGCCTCTGTCCCTCCTGTCCTCCATGGGGCACTTGCTCTGGGAGGAGGTTTTTGTCTGGTGGTCAAGCTTGTAATTTGTAGGATAAGTTGGAATGGTCTTGAAGGACACTGGAATTCTGTTCTTGGAGCTAATGATGGCATTGTTGATCTCATTATCATCCTGGATAGGAAAAAATAAAGTACCTTAAAGTGAATTATAGGAGAGGTTGATTACCTCTCGCTGAAGGAGACAGAGGCCACTCCCTATTAATTTATATCTCATGGATTAAACTGATATAAAGAAGAGTATTTCTGACAGGAAGGGCTTTGTGCCTCTGTTGCACTTGACAAACGCATTTGGGTGTTCCCAGAACTCCTGCCCTGTAGTCTTGGTCTTTGGTAGCCAAGTGAGGATTGGAGTTGGGCTGTCCAGAAACGTGTGGTGTGTCACTCAGCTTCCCAGACATTCTTACAGGATGTCTCCATTCTCCTGTGGGGAGCATCCTGCCTCATTCCTGGAATCCACCTGCCTCACTCGTGCCTGAGCTTGCAGTGTTTCTGTCCCTCAGGAGCTGTTCCGCAAGGTACGAAGCATCTTGAACAAGCTGACGCCCCAGATGTTCAACCAGCTGATGAAGCAGGTGACAGACCTGACGGTGGACACGGAGGAGAGGCTGAAGGGAGTCATCGACCTGGTCTTCGAGAAGGCCATCGACGAGCCCAGCTTCTCCGTGGCCTACGCCAACATGTGCCGCTGCCTGGTGACGGTAAGAGCCGCCCGGGAGCTGCCCTGGGCTGAGGGGCAGCAACAGAAACTGCAGAGAGCAGAGTTAAGTGGTGGCTTCTGAGTGTAAGTAGGAATAATTAATGTGGAATATTGGTTTTTTGGCCATGCCCAAGGCAGAGGGATTTGCTTGGAGCAGTTGTTGGGAGTTGAGGACTCCTTGCTCCACCTGGTCGCAAGATGAGTCGTATTTGGGAAGTTCATGGAATCACAGAAGCATGGAATAGTATAAGCAGGAAAGGGAATTTAAAGCTCTTCTCGTTCCACCCCCTGCCATGGGCAGGGACAACTTCCACTATCCCAGGTTGCTCCAAGCCTCGTCCAGCCTGGCCTTGGACATTTCTGGGGTGGGCAACCACGGCTGCTCTTTCTATGTCTGTCAGTTCCAAGGGAGCCCAGGATGAGCCAGGCTTTGCACAGATCATTCTCAGATGGTGAATTTGGGACAAAAGAGCCCCCTTTTCCCCAGGTCCTTCATGATATGCAGTGAAGGAATATGGCTTAAGCCTTCAGCACAGAGCAGGAGTGTTTTCAAGCAGAGGGTGTTTTTAAGGGATCATGTGGATGGAAATGTAATTCATCCCCGGGTGGAGGTGGTGTCAGCCAAGTTTGGAGTGTGACTTTACATCTGCAATGTAAAACTCCACTGGAAATCCTGATGTGAGGCTTTATTCACAGCCTTGCAGAGCCACGCAGCTCAAAATGAAGAGCAAAATAAATTGTTATGGATGACCCTTCCTCTGTGGAGTTTATTCCTATTTCTGCTGATGTTTTTCTTCCTTCTCACTCCAGCTGAAAGTGCCCATGGCAGACAAACCTGGGAGCACAGTAAATTTCCGTAAGTTGCTGTTAAATCGCTGCCAGAAGGAATTTGAAAAGGACAAGGCTGACGATGATGTCTTTGAAAAGAAGCAGAAAGAACTCGAAGCTGCCACCACTGTAAGTGGTGTTTTTCTCCATAAGTTCTCAGAGCTTCCTCAGAAAATTATTTCCTTTTGAAACAGCAGTTGATTTGGGGGGATTTTGGAGACTTCCATTCTGTCACTGTGCCTGGGGATAATAAAAAATATTTGCCTTGACAGTGGGTTTATCCCAGCATCTTTCTGGGCTTTAGGAGTAAAAGAGGGAACAATGTCTATGAACATAAAACTGGATCTTTCAAACAGTTCTGTGCACTGGGAACGTGGTTTTGCAGAGCTGTTTCCTGTTTTACAGCCAGAGGAGAAGACACGGCTCCACGACGAGCTGGAAGAGGCCAAGGACAAAGCCCGGCGGAGATCCATCGGGAACATCAAATTCATCGGCGAGCTTTTCAAGCTGAAGATGCTGACAGAGGCCATCATGCACGACTGCGTGGTGAAGCTGCTGAAAAACCACGACGAGGAGTCCCTCGAGTGCCTTTGCCGCCTGCTCACAACCATTGGCAAGGACCTGGACTTTGAGAAGGCAAAGGTGGGGCAGGAATGGGAGTGAGGGATGAGCTTCTCTGGGCAGAGCTGGAAAAATGGGTGTGGGGTGTTTTTATTTGATTTGTTTTTTCTTCAGGAATTTCCATATGGCATGAGGAAATCATCCACTCCTCTGTGGATGTTTCGTCATGACCTGGCCTCGCTCCCTGCTCTGTAATAGATTCTGTATCATTTTCAACTGTGTTCTCCAGTTGTTATTTCCAAGGATTTTATCCAAACACACAGCCCAGAAATGCTCAACATTTCCTTTTTCCAAGTCAAATGTCCCTCTTCCTTTGTAGTTCCCAAAACATTATTATTTCCAGTTGAAAATTTATGTTACCTACAAAAGCCACCATGAAATGTGTTGTTCAGGTTAAATCTGCAACACCCTCACTAACCAGTCCAAAGCCCCACCTGAGCCTCGGGGGTGCCTGTGTTTTGTGTCCAGATGTGCTGGGATGTGGCAGCTGTTCTGCAGCCGCAGCACTCCTGCATCCTCCTCCCCCTTTTCCAGCAAATATGTCTGTAGCACAGAGCACTGTGCACTCCAAGAGCTTCTCTTGGCACAGACAGTCTGCTGCTCCTTCACAAAAACCAGGCTTGGGATGAGCAACTCAAGGGTTTTGCCAGGAATCCGTGGGACTGGGCTCTGGAAGCAGACGGAGCTAATTGTGTTCAGCTGCCCCGGGCAGGGAGTTCCCTCTCCTCTCAGGGATCTCAGGGATCACAGTGGATCAGTGCTGAGCCTTAGGGGAAGGAATTTCCCAGGCTGTTCTGTGAGCATTGACCAAACCAGCGTGGTTTATGAGCAGTCCCAGGCAAACACCCTGTGCTGTGAGCGCAGCACCAGCGGGATTCAGTTTCTCCGTGTGCTTTGGGAGCAAAACCAGCTCTGACTTCCAGGCTGAGGTCAGGCTGGACGAGGCCTGGATGCTGTTTTGGTCTTTTGGAGCACTGTAAAAGCCAACATTTTGATGCTTTGCTGGTTCTGCACCCTCGAGCTGGGGCATGGTGGGGCACAGAGCGAGGGAGCAATTCCAGAGGCCTCGGTCCCATCTTTGGGATTGGTTGTTTCTGTCAAGACTGAGAGAATCCTTCTTAATGAGGTAGACATTTTATTATGTGTTTTTATTGAAGCTGAACTGTTATTCATAGTTTAATTAAAATTTCTAAACAAAGTCCATTGGAAATATTTTCCCTATCATGCCTAACTTTGGAAACATTTGCTCCCAGAGCTGGAACTTTCCAAGGCAAGGCCAGACACAAATTTTAATGGATTTTTTTCTTGTTTCTTTAACTACAAGGACAAGGGTTTAGTTGGTTTTTAGAGAAGAGAATGGGAAGCATGGTAGAAAACTGCTCTGAAACTCTTGTTTGAAACAACCAGAGGCCCTAATTTGAGAAAAAGGCTTTTTAGAGCATGGTGAGCCAAATTTAGACCTAACAGGAGCTTCTCTGCTGATCCAAATTGATGTCTTAGTGTGAACCTATTGGGATTCCACCATATCATGATTATCCTGATGAGGAGTTTGTGGGGTTTTTTTCCCACAGCTGAGCCCATTAAACTGTTTTTGCAGAGGGACCCAGAGCTGCTGCTCAGTCTGACCTGGCTCAGCTTGGGGGATAAACCATGGAATGATGTGTTTTAGGCTGGTTTTGTACCCATTTTTTCCCTGAGCCAGTTTTTCTTGGGCTGAGGTAAGCACACAGCTGATTTGAGGAGGGGAAGCTCAGACTGAGATGGATTTCTAATGGTTATAATGTTTATTATGTACATGCAGAGGGTGTAGACAGTTTGTGCAATTAAAAACCCAGAGAAAGTCTGTGCCTGCACAGTTGTGCCTCATCTCCTGCACATGCTGCCCTGTGCACCCTCAAATCCATCCTGGAGGAGTGTACAAGACCCAGCACTCACCTCTCTGGGGAGCAGCCCTGAGTCCTTGATGTTTCTAGCACAGAAATCCCAGAATGCAGGACCTGCTGGGTGCCACTCAAGGGAGTGTTTTCCTTTTCCTCCACAATGTGCTGATGATGTTTTCCTTGTCTAGCCCCGCATGGACCAGTATTTTAATCAGATGGAGAAGATTGTGAAAGAGAGGAAAACCTCCTCAAGGATTCGGTTCATGCTTCAGGATGTAATAGACCTAAGGCTGGTAGGTGCTAGTTCCAGTGAGTAAAAGTGTGAAATCATGGTGCCCAGACTGGTCTGGGTTGGAAAGGACCTTAAGGATCATCTCGTTCCACCCCCTGCCATGGCAGGGACACCTTCCACTGTCCCAGGCTGCTCTAAACCCCCTCCAGCCTGGCCTTGGGCACTGCCAGGGATCCAGGGGCAGCCACAGCTGCTCTGGGCACCCTGTGCCAGGGCCTGCTCACCCTCACAGGGAGGAATTCCTTCCCCATATCCCATCTCACCCTGCCCTCTAGCAGTGGGAGGCCATTCCCCCTTGTCCCCAGTTCCTCTCCAGCTCTCCTGGGGCCCCTTTAGGCCCTGGAAGGGCTCTGAGTTCTCCCAGGGGCCTTTTGTCCTGCAGGTGAACATACCCAGCTCCCATGCCAGTCTGTCATGTTCCCTTCCATATCCAGGCTGGATAAGCTCTCATGCAAGAGCAGGGATTCACAGCTCAAGTGGGATGTTAGGGGGAGATCTGTTCCCCTTCTCCCCCAAGTCTGGCTGTCCAAAGCCAGGAGATGTCTCCACGTTGTCCTGGTGCTGTACACGTGTGGTGCAGGGGGTCCCCACACTGTGCAGGTGAAGATGTGACCATGGTTGGAACAAGCCTTCCCAGCAACTTTAATTCCCCCCCAGGGGAGCTGGTTTGGGTTGTGTGGAGGCTGAAATCACCATTTTGGCTGCAGGTAGATAATTACCCCCAAGAGCTGTAATGAAGATGCAGCAAGATAAGGGACAGTGTGGTCATTCCAGGGCTGGAGGGGTCTGGGCACTGCATGGCTGAAAAGACACATCAAGCAAGGAACGTGTTTTTGGAGTGACAGCTGCTCCTCTGCAGGATTCCTGTGTCAGCCATCACCATTCCTGGAGTGCAAAGTGGTGTTTCAACTTAAAATCAGTCACTTTTTGCTTTTTTTAATTTTCATTTCTTCCCTGAAGCTTAGAGGAAAGGCTCCCACAAAGAGTATCAGTCATAAACAGAGTGACAGCAGCTCTTCTCTTTCCTCTGAGCCTTGAAAGAGAAGCTGGGAATGTGCAGGCTGGAGATTAACATGTCCTGAATTCAGTCAGGTCTTGGCTGCAGTCTCTGTACCTGAGCACAAGGCTCTGCTCTTGGCTGCTGGGATAACCATGTCCATGATGTGTCCCAGCTCCACAGGATTTTCTCCAGCCCCTCTAAGGCATGACAAGGGTGGGAGGATGAGGCCTCGTTCCCAATATTCAAACTCCCCATGTTTGATGCTCTCCTGGAAGTTTTCCTGAGCACGTGTTTGGTTTTTTTGCTTCTTCCCCAGTGCAACTGGGTGTCACGGAGAGCAGACCAGGGCCCCAAGACCATCGAGCAGATCCATAAAGAAGCCAAGATTGAAGAGCAGGAGGAACAGAGGAAGGTGCAACAACTCATGACCAAAGACAAGAGGAGACCGGGTAAAGTAAAAGCCAAGTTGGCTGCTCTTTTCACATCCAGTGGCCTTAGAGGGAATCCCACATCAAAGGCAAAAATCTGTGGGGTTTTTTTTTCCTAAGTGTAATGAGCAAAGGAAATTGGGGCCTGATATGGCAGAGGCTGGAAAAGGAACAGATCTGCCATGGATTGGCTGTGGGGATTTTCAGGGGCAAATCTCATGGGTGAAAATAACCAACCACGGTGTTTACACATTCTATTCATGCAAACCATGTTTGATTTTATGACAGGCTGCCAGAAATCTGTTCTAACAAGTTATTACTTAGGAGTCAGTTAGCCATCCATTCTCAGGCACTGCAGTCTCATTTCAAGAGAAAAACATCTCATTCCAGGAGTAACCATGTTGTCTTTAGTTGTTAAAGTCATGAGGTGCTGACTCTGTGTGAGGGGGTGTCTTGGCATCACCTTAAACTGCTCCTGGCCCTCAGGGCACTGAAAATGAATTTGGAGTGACTGGGAAAACGAAGACTGAGACAGAGCAGGGCAAGGAGAAAGTAATTTTCAGGGATTCTTTAGTCATTGGGGGATTCTCTAAGGACTGTCAAATGAAAGTGCTTTGAAAACAGGGTGTAAAGAAAATCCATGTAGACTTTAATTATCCTAAAAGTGACACCAGGAGAAGGTGAGGATCATGGGAGTGCCTGAGGGGCTCTGTGTCAGACCAGCCAAGTGCTGCAGGAATTGTGGGATGAGGGAGGCTCTGGTCAGGGAAGGCATCTCTCATCTCATCTCATCTCACCTGCTCCTTCCATGAGCTTGTGAACATGCAGCACCCACAGGAATGCAGAGAAATCCAGCCAGGAACCATCCCTTCCAAAAGCAGCCCTGGAAGGAGCAAGAGCTGTTGTGTGAGAGCCCAGGCAGGCAGGCTGGTTGTGGCATGTCAGAGGGAAGGACATTCCCGAGCAGGACCCTGCCTGTCAGAGCAGCGGGCTGGGCTGAGCTGAGCTGAGCTGAGCTGAGCTGAACTGAACTGAGCTGGGCTGAACTGAGCTGAGCTGAGCTGAGCTGAACTGAACTGAGCTGAGCTGAGCTGAGCATGGCTCTGTTTGTCCTCCTCAGGTGTCCCGCGGGTGGACGAAGGCGGCTGGAACACTGTGCAGGGGGCAAAGAACAGCAGAGTGCTGGACCCCACCAAGTTCCTTAAAATCACCAAGGTAGGTGCCAGCACAAGCCTCCTTCAGGGCAATAAAACATCTGTTAGTCCAGGAAGGATCAGGACAGTGTGTGCAGGTCAAAACTTGGGGCTGGGACACGTTAAATCCTCGGAGTTAATACTGTGTGTAAATCAGGCTGCATTATCTTCTGGATGTTCCTGTTTTGTCCTGAGGGAAAGGAGTGTGCAGATTTTATTTCTCAGGTTCACAGTGTCCTTTTAGTAATCCACAAACTCTCACAGTCAGAAAATCTGCATTTTATTCAGTGATGAAAATGTGAGCCAGGGTATTGTGTGATATGGAGATGCAGCACAGCACCATGTTCCATGGGTCTCAAACACATCACCTGGGAGTCTCAAACACCTGGCTGCCTCAAGTTCTTGAGACCCTATTCTGATGCTGCTCCTCAATAAAACAGGGAGGCCACATCCTTTTTGATGTGTCACAAACAGCAGCACTCCAGACTTAGGATGCTCCCATAGAATGGGAAGAGCTGTGTCTGCTTTAGAGGTTTCTCGACTTGGTGGCATGGTTGCATCCCCCAGCATGTGATAAACTCTCATGTTCATCCTGCAGATGAGCATCTTCCTGTTATTTCACCATTAAACTGGTGAATTTGGGACAGTTTTTCAGGCTGCAGGTTGGGCAAGCTGGAGATGTCTCCTTTGTTGAACTTCAGAACAGCTCTGGGTTTTCTTGCCAAGGAGAAGTCTGACCTTTGCATAAGTCACTGACTGCTAAATATTCCCTTGTCCCACTTAATGTCACTTGGCTGAATTTTTACACTCAGTGCCTGGGTTCTTGGAGAGCTGTAAAGCAGGACCTGGACAGACTGCAGCCTTTGTGCAGATCCGATCAGTTTGTTCCTTCTGAAACTCATAAAACAGTCTCCAAAACTTCATTAGCAGGAGAGGCTCAGCCTCCTCCTGCCTGGGCTTACAGCTCACCTGGGAAAAGCCCTTCTCCTCTGTTCCATACAAATGGAGCTGGTTCCCCAGCAGCTGCTTTGGAAGGAGAGAGGAGCTTCCTCGAGATCTGCGAGGTCACAACCTCCTTGTCAATAAATTCTCACACTGAACGTCATAAAATCAATATTCTCTTCTTGCCAGACACCACTTCTTCCTCCAGGTTCTGTGACCTGTTGTCGTCCTTTGCCCTCTGTACTGTTTAGTGCCCTGCAGGTCCCCCCAAAGCCATGACTGGAGAGTTGATGGATAGTGAAACTGGCTTACACATCACTAACAAACTGAACTTCTTTCAAATCTGGATATACTGAGCTTTTCCACTTTCCTGAGCTTCAGAATTCCCAATATAAAGAAGCTCCTGCTCACTGTGAATGTCTCTCACTGACATTTGGAAGAGACTCTTTGTGATGCCCTTTGTTGTTCGTGTCTCCTGTCTTGGGCCACACTTCAGTCTTCCAGAAACACGTGAAGTGTATTTTGGTGTTCACAAGGGAGATTTTTTGCCAGAAAATCTCCCATTTATTTTTACACTGCACGATTTGCCTTTGTAATTGTACGTCCTGGTGTGTTTTACAGCCCACAATAGATGAGAAGATTCAGCTCGTGCCTAAAGCCCAGTTGGGCAGCTGGGGGAAGGGCAGCAGTGGTGGAGCCAAGGCAAGCGAGATGGGTAAGTCAGGATGGACCCTCACCCTCGGCTTTGCTGCTGAAGAGCAGGTTTGGGTGGGGTTCACAGAGTCATGGGATGTCCTGAGCTGGAAGGGACCCACAGGGATCAAATAAATTAATTGTTAAAGCCATTTTGATTAATGTTTTCATTTCCACTTCACTCTTCAGCCAAGGGTAGTTGTGTTTATCAGATTAAAAACTCTTCAGATAAAAGGTAGTAATAAATAGGTTGGATTTAATGGCTGTGAATTCAGCCAGGTCAGTAGGTTTATTTATCCAGGAAAACACACCTAAAACCTGGCAGAAATGCAGCACAAAACCATGTCTGACCCTTCCCAGCAGGTGTGACCTGCCCATGCTCCCGCATCCAACAAAAAACTGCAGAGCCTCTCTCTCACTCCAGTTCCTTCAGGGCTGCAGCCACTCCAGCTTGGAGCATGAAACATGTATTAACCCTCAATAATTTATTAACTCTAGACACAGTTTATAAATGTACAGTTCATTTAAAATGTCACTGGATCTTCCTTCCAGTGCACACAAGCTGCTGAAGTGTTTTCCTGTGTTGTGCCTCTATGTTTTCCTTCCTATTTCAAGTAAAGCTTGGGCCTACCTGGAAATTATTCCATTATGGCATCGTTTTGCCCATCTTACTCATTAACACAATAATTAATGGAACAGATCGTTGTCACCTGTTGTTGGGAGCCTTCACTGTTTGGGAAGTATTTTTCAATTAATGGGTAAAAAATACAACTCTCATGGAATCACAAAATGTTTTGGGTTGGAGAGAGCTGAAGGATCACCCATTCCCACCCCCTCCCATGGCAGGGACACCTTCCACTGTCCCAGGGTGCTCCAAGCCCCCTCCAACCTGGCCTTGGACTCTCCCAGAGATCCAGGGACAGCCACAGCTGCTCTGGGCACCCTGTGCCAGGGCCTCACCACCCTCACAGGGAAGAATTTCTTTGTTACATCTAATCTAAAGCTCTCACACCATTTCAAAGGGAAACAGAGTCCATGTGTTATAAAATTCACTATTCCATGTATAAAATGGGTGCTGTAGAGCATTGCTTTTCCATATGTTCTCTAGAAAGCATTGGCTGTTCCTGTCCACTCTGGGTATTTGTGTTTGTGCATCCCTGAAATTGAGTTAATTTTGGCTGTGGGTACAGCTGTAAGAAGTGGAGTGAACAATCCTGCAGGGCTTGGGGTGTGTTTTTTTCCTCGAGGGCAGTGAAGCCCTCGAGTCCCTTTCCTCACCTCTGAGCGGGTTTTTGTTTGGCAGTCGTGGGAGCACGGGCAGGGAGAAGAACGACAAACCTCTGCCACCTTCCCTGTCCCGGCCCAACACCTTCCTCCGGGGCAGCAGCAGCAAGGAGCTGCTGCTGGACAACCAGGCCCAGGAGGAGCAGCGCAGGGAGATGCTGGAGACGGTGAAGCAGCTGACAGGGGCCATGGAGATGGACAGGAACAGCACCGAGGCCGAGAGGAACAAAGCCAAGGAACCTGGTAACAGCTCCTCTGTGCTCGGGGAGTCTTGCTGAGTGTGTGGGAAGGCACAAGGGAGAACCTGTCAGGAGCAGTGACAGGTCTGTGCAGGGCACTGTCAGTGACAGGTCTGTGCAGGGCACTGTCAGTGACAGGTCTGTGTGCAGGGCACTGGCAGAGACAGGTGTGTGCAGGGCACTGTCAGTGACAGGTGTGTGTGCAGGGCACTGGCAGAGACAGGTCTGTGCAGGGCACTGGCAGAGACAGGTCTGTGCAGGGCACTGTCAGTGACAGGTCTGTGTGCAGGGCACTGTCAGGCTGCTGCAGCTGGGATGCAGCTCCCAGAGCTGGGTGACCCAGCTGAGTCAGGCAGGCCTGGGCCTTATCCCTCTCTGCAGCTCCTGTGTAGGATCCAGCGGGGCTGAAGGGCTGCAGGTGCCAGCACAGCATCACCCCCTGGCATTGTCTGCCCTGATTTATCCTGTCACTGTCCCACTGGCTTCCGTGCACAAAGGCCCCCAAATCAGTGTCAGTTCTTCAGGAATGCTTTCCCAGTGCCCCACAAAGCCATGTCTGCCCTTTTCAAGCATTCCCCAGGGCCAGGGCAGGGATTAGGGTCTGGGGCAGATGGTGCACAGCAGCTTTTTAGCAACGTGTTGTTGCCAGCCCTCCTTCCGAGCCAGCCCTGGTGCAGCAGGATGGTGGCACCCACCAGGGTGACTCGTCTGTCGCCTTATCAGTCCTGCAGCTCCTGCTTTTCCCTCCTGCTAGCCTGGGCTGATCTGTTAGTGGGAAAATGGGGACACTTAGGGTGATGTTCCCAGTGGACAGAACCTTTATAGTAAGGACAGCACCCAGCTCCTTCCCTGGGAAACATCTGGAAACTGCTGCAGTGAGGAAAACACATCAAATGCCACAGCACAGCACAGGCTTATCCTGAAGCTTCAGGATGTTGTAGACAGTCCATGGGGATCAGGGTTTTGGGACGTGATTGGGAGATTGCCTTGGGCTGCTGCCCATTGCAGTCAGCACATTTTAACTTTGCTGCAACAGCTCCCATTTAATTATTTAATGTTCGTGTGGAGCTTTGAAGGTGTTTGACCTGTGCCACTGCCAGCTGTGATCCTGCAAGGTCAAGTTACAGAAATACTGGGAGTTCATATGGGGGAAAAGTAGCCAGGAAAGAATCCCAGAATGGTTTGAGTTGGAAGGAACCTTAAAGCTCATCCAGTTGCAGTCCCTGCTGTGGACAGGGACACCTTCCACCTATCCCAGGTTGCTCCAAGCCCCATCAAAGAACTACCCTGTGCCTGAGGATGGGACAGGGACACACCTGCCCTAGTGACTTCTGTTCTCAGAATGTCATCTCTAAAATGGTGATTTTCCTTTTCCAAACACTTTTTTGTTGTTGTATTTCCACCAGCCAAGCCAGAAGTTCCCCCAGCTCCAGTGCAAGAAAAGCCTTCGCTATCAGAAGAGGAAATAGAGAGAAAATGCAAATCTATCATTGATGAGTTCTTGCATATTAATGATTTTAAGGTAAGCAAGATGAAAGCCTCACTTAACAGCCAGCTCTGAGGGGCAGCAGTGATTTCTCTCCAGGGTGTGTCTCTGTGAGCACCCAGCCCACACAGAGCCCAGCAGCAGCAGCAGCTCTAGGGGCACTTTCAGGACAGTTGTCTCCCAAGCTTGTTTGCTGCCCTCTGGTAATAGGAAAAATAGCCCAGCCTGTGTGTTTTAAGTAGCAAGATGGATGTGTATCTGTCATGAATCACTGAGCAGTTCCATAATACCAGCAATTTTGGAAGCAGAAAAGCTAGTGGGAAAATAAACAGAGGTTTTCATTTAGTTATCAAAGCATGTGCTGTTCTGATCTGGAGGCAGATAAAGCAATACTAAATATTGAACAAAACACTCCAGAGGATTTTTAATAAACATTGGAAATTACTGAGCAGCTGTCATCACTTCCTAGTTAAAAGGTTGAAATTTTGTTTCCCTTGTAAATGGGTTTTTTAGCTCATCCAGGGAGTTTGCAAGAAGTGTTACATTGGCTGCAAAGCTGCTTCATTTGATCTTTTACTGAAATAAATTTTCAAACCTGCCAAGTTTGAAATGGCAGCACTTGGGAGTTGCTGGTTTGGCACCCTAAAAGCAGTGTTGCTGCTTCCATTTCATTGGACTTCCAATTAATAATTGGAAAGAGGAATATTCTCATGATGGATTGTTTAGAGTTCACATCTAGTTATTGGGATAAATTATTAAATACTTGGTTTGGAGAGGAAAAACCTTGCTCTGATTGGCAGTGAGCTGGCCTGGGACCCAGGGGCTGGTGAGCCAAGGAGTCTCTGCTCTTTTTCCTGCTTAGGATGGACTCCAGAGGCTCCCCTGGATGCCTGTGATGAAGGGGCCTCTTGAGTTCCCTGTTTGCAAATACAGCAATGTATTTCTGTGGCTGCCTGGAAATGGGGCTGAATTGCATTAGACAGGGCAGGGCTGGTTAAAAGTCCATGGAATTGAGGCAGCTTGTTTGCATCAGGAATTACTTGGTACTGGGGGATTCTTGGCGCTCTTCAGGTGCAGCGAAGCTCTGACTGCTTAAACTCATGTTCCTGCAGCCTCCCGTGAGTGAGCTCCTGCTGTGTAGGGCAGGGAACAGCCCCTTGCAGGGGTTTGGTCCTCAGAGTCTGACCTGACCATGAGCTCAAACTGCTGAGCTGTGACCCTGGTGACAGCAGGGTTCCCTGTGTGTGCCAGGACAGAGGATCCTGTGATGAGCTCCAGCCCGAGCACACAGGCCAGGACCAGCGGGCTCCTGACCTGCAGGAAAAAGCCCTGCAGGGCCTGAGGAAACACATCTGGGGCTGCCAGCTCTTGGTAACTCAGGGCATAACTAGTCACAGAGCAGGTGCCTGTGGTCAGGAAGGCCACTGAGATCTGTGGGCTCAGGAGGTCCCTGGAAGGTCCTTGTGGTGGTAATTGAGATTTTTGATGTGGGACTTTGAGAGCTGCTCTCTAAGTCTCTTGAGTGTTTCTTTGTTCAGGTTGCAAAATGCTCAAGTCAGAAAGTGGGAGCTTTAGAAAGGGGAAATCTTCTCCAAGTGCTCCCCAGCTATTTTCTGCTTCTTCATGGGCTGTGGGTTTGTAACACAGGCATTTGTGCCAGGTCAGATCAGTAACAAATCTGATCTGATACCCTTTTTTTGACTTGATGTTCGATGTAGTAATCAGTGTTTTGGTGGCATCCAGAAGATAACTCCTGCCATTTCACCAAGCAGCCCTGGAATGTGATTATGCATTTTAAGAATTGTTACCTGAGTGGTATAAATTCCATTATTGCTATTACTGTTCTTTTTGTTATTATTATGTGATGAGGTTCCACAGCCTAATTCAGCACTTTTCCTGGCAGCCTCACTAAATCCTCATTTCACTAAAAATCCCCGGTGTTGCAGTAGGAAATACTCTTGTGCCACATGTTTGCTCCTTTTCAGCTGGGGGTGACTGCTGTGTGTCGTTCCACAGGAGGCCATGCAGTGCGTGGAGGAGCTGAGTGCCCAGAGCCTGCTGCCCGTGTTCGTGCGCGTGGGCGTGGAGTCCACGCTGGAGCGGAGTCAGATCACCAGGGATCACATGGGCCAGTTGTTACATCAGCTGGTGCACTCAGGAAAGCTGAGCAAGCAGGATTTCTTCAAGGGGTTGGTATTCTGCACAGAGAATCCACAGATTCTTTTCCTCTGTTTCTTGCAAATGGATGCTGTGCTGCAGAGAAATGATCTCCCACCTTGTTTTGGTATCCTGCCCTCTCCACACATGCTTTTGGAAGGACTGTATCATCTGGGTGTATTTATAAGGAATATTATTATTGTAATATATTTTAAAGTGCTTCAGATGCTGTAGTGAACATAAATATGTTCATATTTATATCAGCTTTTATTTTGAAGCAGATCTGTAGGTGTCTGTTTAAAAATGTGTGCTTAGATCCCTGTTCTGTGCTGCATTTCTCCCTGTTTGCCTTTTGCAAATCCCTGAATGTAACTGGAAGAGGAGAGAGTCACAATCCTGCACACAACATCAGCACCTGGGAGCTCTGAGCTCCTGTGCACACAGAGCCTCAGCCACTGTCCCACTGGGAAGAAGGCTTCACCCACACCATGCCATTTCCAGGACACTTCAGCTGGAGAGCCAAACCCTCGGGGGGCTGAGGAGAACACACAGCATATGAGTTGGACCTGCTAAGAGAGACCTCAGTTTTGGCTGCTGGCTCATTTCAACTCCCTGAATTTTGTGTTCCCAGCCTGGTGTCCAGTCCTAAAACAATCCCTGTTCCCGTGGAGGTGCCTGGTGGCACTCAGTCCTTGCTGGGGTGCAGAGCAGGAGGGATAAAACAGGGATAGGCACAAATGCAGCAGTGAAGGAGCAGATGGAGCATAGTGAGGTTCTGAGGAGTTGGATCTGTCTGGCTTTAATCTGAGTCCCTGTCATTGTGGTACCACCGACCGCTCCGACAGGAAACTCCCTGCACCTGTGTCTGTCCTGAACTTCTTCCAGCTCACAGGAAAGGTTTAGGAAGCCTGAGCTCAAAACAGTATGGAACAGCTGAAAAAAATCTAAATCCACAGGAAATACTCTTGTGTCCACACACACTGCTGCTCAGAGGGACTCGTTTGAGGTGATACACAGCCAAAATGTATTCTGATTAAAGCTGTTATTGAGCTTCCTGGAGTTTGGATAAGTGGATCATGATGAAATATTGGGATCTGTGCTCTGAATGTGACATAAACAATGTGAAACAACCTCATGAAGGTGATGGAAAGGGCAAGTGGTGTTCAGTGAGTGCTGAGGAGAACACCAGAAACCACCTCACCTGCTGACACAGGAGAAGTCTAATGAGGAATCACAGGATGAACACTGGTCCCAGCCCACAGCTGGGGAGAAGAACAACAGGAGAACAATTTCTGGCAGAAAGGCTGGAGCAGCAGCAGAGGTTGCAAAGAATAAAGCAAAGGAGATGGTTCCTGATTTGAAACATCAAGAAAAAATGTGGATTTATAGTCACTAAACAGGACACCGGACTTCTCAAGATTTTCAGGGAGAAACAAACCATGATAGAAACTGGCAGGAGAGCAGAAAAATTACCATCTCCCAGGCATGGGAAGTGATGCCACCTGTAAGGGTTTCATGGGATAGAAGAGTTTTGAGCCATTCTGGAAAGTGTATCACTGGGGAGCACTCCTATAATTCCTGCAGCTGATAGAAACTCTTCTCTGCTGAACTGAGTTCTTACAGACATTTTACTGCTTACCTTACATTTGGAATTCTGTTAGGGTTAACCCCCTTCTCTAAATGTTTGGATATTCTTAAGAAGCTTTAATTTACTTGATGGTTTATATATATAGACAAAAAAGCTTTTTAGTTTTATAGATGTTACTGTTTAGCAAGTGGTTTTGTACTGGGATATAAGAATTATTATAACTGGAGGTTTCCTGGATGTGTCTGGTGTCTGTTGGATCTACAAAAGGTGGTGTCTTTTCCACATATTCTCCTTGTTACTGCATGGAGAAATTGAGTCTTGGCAGTTTGGAAGTACCAAAGACATAAAATGGCAATAGGTTTTTTGTTACCTTTGTGATTGTCCTCACTCCTCTCTCTTTTCACTCCTCTTTTATGTTACAAAATATTTTTAAAGTGCAGATTTCTTTGAAGAAAATGCCTCCAATTAAATTTTATTTAATACTTGATGTTTTTTTCTCCTTCTGAAGTTTTTCTGAGACCCTGGAGATGGCGGATGACATGGCCATAGATATACCCCATATCTGGTTGTACCTGGCTGAGCTGGTGACCCCCATGTTAAAAGAAGGAGGAATCTCTATGAGAGAACTTATACAGTAAGTGATGCTTTCCCAGCTGTGCCTGTAGTGTTTTCTCAGTGTGGTTCCCATCAGTAGGTGAAGGATGAGCAGTGCTGGAGCCTCAGCTCCCCCAGGAGAGCTGTTGCACATCCTTGGGGGCCCACACCAGCCTGAAATCTCTGCTGAGAAGGAGCTTGGTGCTTTCACCCTTGGAGAAGGGTTTTATCCATAAGTCTGTTGTTGGTTCCAGCAGAGCTTAAAAATACCCCAGTGCTGTAGATGGAGCCATTTGGGAGCACAGAGGCTCTGGGAATTAGACTTGCAGAGAGTGAGATATTGCAGAGGGTGACTGAAGGAGGGCTGGGCTAGGTGGGATATTTGGAATAAATTCCCCTCTGTGAGGGTGGGGAGGCCCTGGCACAGTTTGCCCAGAGCAGCTGTGCCTGCCTTATCCCTGGAGGTGTTCAAGGCCAGGCTGGATGGGGCTTGGAGCAGCCTGAGACAGTGGAAGGTGTCCCTGCCCAAACTATGGGCTTCCATGTCTTTACCACCTGTGCACTGCCTTGAATGGGCACAAAACCTTGTCTGCAAGACCAGAAACCATTTCCTGGACTAGAATCCCTGTATTTTCTGTATGTCCTTACATATTTGGGGATTAACTGTGAGCCAGCTGAATGGTTCCTATTTCTGTTAACAGTATATTAAGAAAATAACAGTCTTTTTCCTCTACCCAAGTGCAGCATCCCACAAAAATGAGTGGGTTTGACATAAATATGACATATTTTTTAATGCAAAATTAAAGTCTTTGTAATTAGCCCTGTTATGACAAGGTCACTGCATCACTAAATGTTTTATCAGCAGCGCTGGATTAATCAAATCCTTCCTCCCTGTCAGAAGTTAAAGGTGATTTCCTGCCTCAGTTTGATCACTACCCATGGATTTGCATCCCAAATACGAGTTATAACAGAAAAACACCTGTTTTTCTTTCATTCTAGAGAATTTAGCAAACCCTTGCTTCCTGTGGGAAGAGCCGGCGTCTTGCTTGCTGAAATCTTGCACCTTCTATGCAAACAAATGGTGAGTGCCCCGTGCTCCTGTCCTCCGCAGGGAGGAGTGGCTGCAGCGCTCGTGTTCATGCATGAAACCTTCACCATTCCCACGTGAGGACATTTAGGGATGGGCCAGCCAGTCCAGATAACTTAGGAAACCTGCCTCGCACCCCCAGTTTCCAACCAAGCCTTACGAGGTTCCAAAAAGTTGAGTTAACTTTTTGTTTTCTCATCACTTTTCCCTTTTGCAGGTACCTTTGCACCTGGCTTCTCCCAGAAGCTAAGAGTGCTGAAATACTGCAAGAGGGACATGCTCAAGGGATTTCTGGGCTGACCAGAAGCAGCAAGTGCCGGGAATCTTGCGAGAGAACTGTTCTTGCAGACCGGAGAGGTTCTCAGGGTTCGGATAAGCTCCCGATGGCCTCAGACTGCTGTGTGCTTATCCAAACTAAACCTGCCGACTCTTGAGGTTCACCCAGCACTGGGGTAGTGACACCTCCTCACCCCGTGACTCCGAGAGCTCTCTTTCACACCTCACAGCTGCGTGTCCTACCAGTTTGGTGGTTTCCCTGTAACTCATCTCCATTTTTGTCTTTTTTTTTTTTTTTTTTTTTTTTAATCCAGCTAAATCCTGCACTTTTATATAGTGTCTATTTCCAACCCTGTAAAATCCCTCACTTGCCTTTTTTTTTTTAATTTTTTCAAGCATGCATTCAAGTAATGTTGAATGTTCCAGGAGCATTTCAGTCCAACAGTGCAAAGAGTGACTTTTCATTTATTTTAGTCTTGTGCTTGTTTGGACAGTCAACTTCCGTTTTTTTTTAAACTATTCTGTGAAAGAAAAGCTGCTGTGCTCTGGGTGTGGAAGCACAGCCTTGGGTCTCTGTTTCTGCCACAGCTTTCTGATCAGATCTTGTCCAGGCCAAGACTTGGACTCGGATATTTCAGTGTAAAATCAGCCATCTAATCCAGACCTTGGTGGATCAGAGCAGGAGTTACGCACAGTTGGCTCTTAAGAACTTGTATTGTAAACTGAAAATTGTAATCTGCTTTGTAAACTTAAAATGAGGCAGCATTTCTCAGCTTGACTTAGGCTACTCAGTGATCTCCTGTGAGCAGGTGCTGTAAGGTGAAACTTTGGCAAAGCATTTGGGTGAAAAGAGCTGGTTGTGTTCAGCATTTTTATTCTTGTCAGAACTGTGTGTGTCAGAACTGTGCTCTCTGAGGCAGGAGGCTCAAAGGTCAGTGTGACATTAGAGGCTGCAAAAGGCTGAACTGTCTGTGCTCAAGGGCACTGCTCTCAAGGTCTGCATAAACTCTAGGAGCTGAAGAGAGATTTTGGGATTATGTGCCTGAATTTGAGGCTTGGTCTCTGCGCAGAAAACAGCTGTGTAAATGAGGAGTTTTCTCAAAGGAGCAGTTTGCCAGAGCCTTGCTGTCAAGGCAAGGGAGTGTGAGTGGTGGAGCAAGTCAGGAGAAGGGTCTGAGTCAGCCGTGGGAAGGTGCCTGTCCCACGTGTCACTGCTCCTGGGTGACCTCGGAGCTCGCTGCGAACCCCCCGTGTCACTTCTGCCTTGCCCATTGCCCGTCACGAGGCGTTGCCCACCTGACAAGATGTGCATTCCCGGGGGGATTGCACATGTGGTGTCTCCTGCACGGGGTCTCCAGATGTTCTCACTCATTGCCGGGCGTTTGTTGGGTGGCTGAACTGTCCTTTATTCCTCCTGACACAGCTGCACCATTCCGGCCCCTGTGAGTTCCCAGGGTGTCCCTCAGCTCTTTAAATGGACAAACTGCTTGTGTTTCAGAGCCATAAGAAAGTGGGAGCCTTATGGAGGGAGTCTGGCCTCAGTTGGAAGGACTACTTGCCCGAAGGGGAGGATGTACATACCTTTCTCATGGAACAGGTGAGTTCAGATGATTTCTTTGATCATCCCGTTCGTTCATCCTCTTCCATCCCGTTCTTAGGCACAGTTGCAATATGGGGTGAAGTGTCTCCAAGTTGGGGTAGATGATTTCAGCATCACCTTGTGAAGCACAGGGAGGACAAGCCTGTCCCTGCTGCTCCCAGACACACATCTCCAGTCACCTGGCTTCCTCTAGGAGACCTGTTTCTCCAACTGGGAAGAAAACATTCAGTAATGAGTTTTAGAGCAAGGACAGACAATTGCAGAAGGGCCACAATTAATGGTAGCAGTTATTCACTCATCCCACCTTGGATTATGATCCTGGAGGGAGCCAAGACTGATGGAGGCACCTCACCTCTTCTTGCTGGTGCTGCTCCTCAGGAAGCCACTGTCTCCCTTTGGAGCTTTGAGTGATCCACTGCCCTGTTCTGGCACTTTGGAAGTGCTGCAGGAAATGAAATTATTAACATGGCCTGGGCCTTGCTGAGGGGACTGCAGCTCTTCTGTCACAGTTTTCAAGGAATTGGGGCATTGGCTGCAATTCCTTTGAGCCAGTGCCAGCTCTGGCTGTTGCATTCCAGCCAGGCAACACACACTTGATTTTGTACTCTGCTGTGCAGAGCTGGAGCTGCCTGAGGTGCCTCCTTGTCTTTGCTGGATAATGGAGTTCCCATGTGTAAAATGCTTCCTAACTTTTGGAACAGGGAAAGTTGATATGGCAATGATAACTGAGCAGCTGAAATGCCAGGAAGCAGAATTAAATGTAGTTTCCTGCTTCAATCTGGTGTAATTCAGCCTAGGAAAGTACGTTTCACTAATTCTCATCATCACGTGTGGTGTTGCAGAAGTTGGAGTTCACGGAGTCTGACTGTTCCAGTTCCTCAGAAGCACTTTCAGAGAAAGAACTGTCTGCAGAAGAGCTGAACAAGCAGCTGGAAAAACTCATTGTTGAGGACAAGGCGAATGATGAACAAATCTTTGATTGGGTAGAGGTACAAAGAGATTTTCACCCTCCCTGCAGACTGTTTAACTGCTTTTCTACATATGTTCTGGTCTGAACATCTCAGGGGTTGGGACACTGTGAGGATTTGGTCTGTGCAATCAACACTTCCAAAGAATTAAAATCTAAAATATAATGAGCATTTAAGAGTCAGTTTCAGGAAGGAAGGTTTTTAGCCATATTAACTGTGTAACCTTTTAAGGCTTTCTGACACTGAATGTCCTGCTTCTGCCACTTAGTACATTTCAGATGTACACTGCTACATCATTTCTTCATAAAATAGGGAAAAGAAGCTTTTCACTATTTTTTCCCAACATGATCTCTCCAAATTTCCCACTGTAAAAACATCCTAGGTAGTCAATGAGAGCACCTTTTCAGTGCACTGGGCCAGGCACTGGAGGAGAAAATAAAAATAAAAAAGAGAAAAAGACCTATCATCCCACTGGTCTTTGCTCTCAGTCTCTGGCTGACTTCTTTAACTCAGATGTTTAGTGTCTGAAATTATACCCAACCTATGCATTTACATCTGTGCTTGTACTAAATCTTGGTCAGCTTCAGTTCAGTTATTTCTGTGGCAGAACAATGTGTTAGAAATGTCATTTTCCACTGCTGTTAGATGAGTTAAGAGTGGAATGAAAGCAGCACTGAAAATCTGGGATCACCCACAGGCTCTTTGGAGCCATTCCCTGAATTTCTTTTACAAAATAAACAATCTCCACCCAAGGAGCACGCCGTAAAGTTTGTTGGAAAGCCCAAAACTCTTTGAGACTGTGCGTTGCAGGAGCGCAGCGTGGTTGGTTTGGTTCTGCAGACAAACAGCTCCTTGTGGGAGGTGCTCAGTGGCACATGGATCCCATGGGAGCTGGTGTTGCCTGCTGATGTCCCTGAGGGAGTTCCAAGGAGTGAGTGGGGAAGCCGAGTGTTGCAGGGGTGAGCTGGGCTTGTGCCACAGCAGCAGCTCAGCCTGGACTTGCTGCCAGGCTCAGCACTGGAGTTCTGCAGTCCTGCAGCACTGTGTTTTTAACTGGTCCATTTATTCTTGATTCCAGGCTAATCTAGATGAAAGCCAGATGAGTTCACCTACATTCCTTAGAGCTTTAATGACAGCAGTTTGTAAAGCAGCTATTATAGGTGAGTAACTTGCAGCGTAAACACCACACAAACCAAACCTGCAAAGAATTATTTGGTATTTTTGAGGTTTATATCATATTTTCCTGGCCAAGGCTGTGTTTGGTCACACACTAAGGCTTTTCCATCATTTGGGATTGTGCCCGAGAGCAGGGTGTCCCTTCCTCTCATGACAGCCAGGACTTTGCCGGTATGGTGCTCCTGAGGTGAACCTGGTGTGTCCCAGTGCCCAGTGTGAGCAGGGGTCTCAGACAGCCCTGGGTAAAGCCAGAATGTTCGTTGATTTTCTTAACAAAGGTGGAAATGACTGAGATCACCATTAAGGCAATTAACATTTCCACTCCTGTGTCAGCAACGAGGCGTGGGCAGCAGGAAGAAGCCAGGCTGGGGCTCAGGCTTGTAAGAGTTTTATATACAAAGTTTCGGTTTTGGAAAGATGGTTTATGTGAATTGCCTGACTGTACAGCTGGAAACACTGGGAAGGAAGGGCTCCCAAGTCAGACACGTGAGCCTCAGGCCCCCGGCGGGGGTTGAGTAAAGCACTGCAGCCAGAAACATCTGCTCAGTTCACTTGGTTTTCTTTAACTTTACTGTTGGCATCTGGCACAGCAAAAAGTGATGCTTATAAAGGGTCTGGTTCTGCTCTGAGCTGTGATTTGGGGGAGAGAATGGGCTGGATTCCACCGTGTGAGGGAGGGGAGGGACAGGCCAGCTCCTTCCTCTCTCTGGGAACAGAGCCTTGCTCATGCCACCTAGTGTTAACAGAGGCACGACACAGGACTTCATTTCCAATGCTTAAGGGTTCCCTGTTGTGTAAGGAAAATGATCCTCTGGTTTAAATTTTGGCCTTGCCTATAACTGAGTTTTTTACTTTTGTTTTCAAAATATCGCTTATTTGGGTTGCATGACCTACTTGAAAGCTGCTGAATAATTCATCCTTGTGGCTGATGGACTTCTAATGTGTGTTTTTATATATTTGCTATTTCCTATATCATGTGCAACTTATGATTCTGTTTCTGCCCTGTTATTTTTAGAAAAAAAGAATTTTCTAAAAACCTTTTTAGTGCAGTTGCCTCTGGAGACACCATTTGCACTGCAAAGTAAGGTTGTGCTGCTTCTGCTTGTGTTAGAGCTGGGGTGACTGCAGGCAGTGAACTTGGGGAGCTGTAAGGACCAAGGCTTCCAGAAATAGCCATTAACCAAAAATACTTCCTGTTATTTCTCATCCTCCTTTTCTCTCCACTCTAAACTGTGTTTGTGATTGCTGTTTGCATTGGTAAAGGCAGTCAAAGAGCTGACCCTGCTTTCTCCTCTTCCCCTCAGCGGACTCTTCCAGCTTCCGAGTGGACACTGCTGTTATCAAACAGAGAGTGCCCATCTTACTCAAGTACCTGGACTCAGACACAGAGAAGGAACTACAAGCACTTTATGCACTACAAGCATCAATAGTAAAACTTGATCAACCTCCTAGTAAGTGTTGCCTCTGTGCTGGGGATTTGGGCCTGTATAAGGACAGGGGGGTTCTGTGGGAGACAGGAAGAGGATGTACTTTTCCTTACCTTTGTAGGTAGCAGGTGAGAGAAGCTGGTGTGGGTGGGTTCAGCTTGTCCAGATCCCAGATTTTTAGAGCAGCTCAAGTTCCCAAATGCTTGGCCAGAGGCCGGCTCGTCTTTTGGTTGCTCCTGTGAGCAGCCCCACAGAAGGGAGGACAATCCTCTCTTGATAAAAAGAAAGCAAAAAAAGAGCAGTAAAAAATAATCTGTTGAGTTTGCAGTACCTGGGCATGTGAGAGCATGGGTGGTGTTTGCATTGCTACTCCACAGATGTCTGTGGGCTTGGAGGGAATAAAATGAGTTGGTCAACTGATGAGTTTTGTCCCAGAGATGCTACAGAAAACCCTTGCAGGACAAGAGGCAAGGGAGTAACCAAAGAAGCAGAGATTCCCAGGGAATCCGCAGCACAAAATCCAGGAGTGCCTCAAAACATCCAACATGATCATCCTTAGTGCCCTTTATGACATTAGTTGGGCATTATATTTCCTGATGAGCCACAAAAATCTGGGGTTGGAGGGAAACCAGACGTGGTGCAGAGGAGATGGGCTGCTGTAGATCCTGCTTGCCAGCCAGTCTCTAAATAACATATTTCCTCAGCTGCTTTCCCAGCTTTCCCTCTCCTCAGACAATGTCAGAGGGGTCAGTTTTCCCCCTCACCTGAGTGTGAGCAGCCAGAAGCAATAACTGAGTAAGAGCCCTGTGTTTTCCTTGTCTCTCCATCTCCCGTGCCAAGAGGTCACGTTAATCCCCTTATCTGCAGCCAGGGCTGACAGATGTTCCCTGCCTTTATTCCATTACTGCAGATTTGTTGCGGATGTTTTTTGATTGCCTGTATGACGAGGAGGTCATTTCGGAGGATGCCTTCTACAAGTGGGAAAGCAGCAAGGACCCGGCGGAGCAGAACGGCAAAGGAGTAGCGCTAAAATCTGTCACGGCGTTCTTCACGTGGCTACGGGAGGCCGAAGAGGAGTCAGAGGATAATTAAAACTTAAAATACAGATTTAAAACAAACAAACAAAAAAGAAACAATTTAAGTATTTTTTTAAAAAGTTTCACGTCTTCGCCAATCACAGTGCAGCAAGGCCAATTCTCTCTCGCAGACCCCTTGCCCCACACACGCACGAGTGGGAGAGGTAAAACCCGATAAACACCGAGGTGATCATGGAGGCAAAAAGGTACTTGAAAACAAACCCACAAAAGTAAACTTCAAACCTGAGGGCGGGAGCACTAAACCAAAATACATGTATTATTTATAGAAAATATTTTCTGTTTTAATCTTTTTCTTTTCTTTTTAAACAAGGACTCATACTTAGGAAAACACACAGCAAAACAAATCTGTTTAGCAAAAAGAAGTTGAAAACTTTTAATTTATTATTTTAAGGACTGCAAATGCCAGTGTAATTTTTAAATTTGCAGTTTCTGTAAACAAATTGTATAATAGAACAAAAGCAGAGAAATAAATTTCCCTCCCCTTCATACGCACCTCAGTTTTGTTTCAAAGCATGATAAATCAACAAAACTTTGAAGGGGGTTGGGGTGAGCTAGATGAGGACAAGATCAATTATTTTTTTTTATTATCATCATATTTTTCTGCCTGCCTCTCAGCTTGCTACAGAAATTTAAAAAGAAAATAGTAATCAAACCATACATAACCTTGGATCGGAAGAAAAATGCATTTGAGAAAACCGCTGCGGACCAGAGTGCTCCGAAAATAACTCATTGAAAACCGTGCTACCCCGGGGAAAAAAGTACTAGTGATACTTTGAGAACCTTTAGAGCAACTTTAAGGCTTGTAAATACATAGAACAAATATTTAAAAAAAAAAAAAAAAAAAAAAAAAGAAAGAAATTGAATCAATACTATTTCTTTTCACTTTCAAAATATAAAGAACAAAATAAAGACAAACATTGCAAGTTTAAAAGAAAGTAAAACGACTTCTCCTTTGACAGCTGCTGAATGTGTGCACCATCCTGAGCGGTGCTGGCTTCCTTGGCATGCCGTAGGTCCTCGGGCCCAAATTGTGTACATATAGTGTGTGTCTGTATGTGTGACTACCAAAAATGAAGGGTGAGAGCAATTGTTTAAAAAAAAGGAAAAAACAAAAAAAGGGGATGCTGTTGTGCCGAGAAGCTCCCTGGCCAAGGAGCAGCCAGTGGCTGCGGGGCCGAGCGGGAGCAGTTGGTTCCCGAGGCTGGGACGTGACCTCAGGGCAGATGGAGCCCGACCCCAGCCGGGTCTCTCCAGCCGTGTCTCTTGTGACTTGGATCCGTGGGGACTTGTGACCCTGGCAGCTCCGGAGGCCGCAGCTGTGAGAGCCGAGATCCGACAGCCCAGCGCCAGGAAGGGTGCAGGACGGAGGAGCGGCGCCGCCCGGCCCGCAGTGCCCGAGCACAGCCGGGGCACGGCCACAGCCGCGGGAGCCCTTCCCGTGCCCAGCGGGACCCGGGCTGCTGCTCCAGAGCCAGCTGCTGCTGAGGACGGGAAGGCCCTGGCGTGTCTCTGCAGCCACCCGAGATGACCTGCTGGCTCTCACTGGAGAAGCACCTGCGTCAAGGACTCTGCAAAGCTGGGGAAGCCCTGAAATGTGGTTTGTGAACTGTGGGCCATGGACCGTGAGTAACCTGTGGAGCATTTGCTGGGGGTGTCTGCAGCACTGACTGCTCACATGATGCTGTCTTTTTCTTTCCAGCTGCTAAATCACTTCTTTAAAAAAAAAAAAAAAAAAACCACAACAACAAAAAAAAACAACAACAAAAAGAAACAAAAAAAAAAGGGAAGAAAGGCTACAAATACATTACTTTCCTAATCTTACTTTTACATGTGAACAATTGCTGTACTTGCCTGAGGATGTGATTTGATCACCACGGGGAAGGGAGGAGGTGCCTGGTTGTGGCCAGAGGGGAGAGGTCCATGAGACACTTTCCCTGTTAACGTGTTCCACCCCGTGAATCTGAGCTAGAGAATCCATGGCCTAAAACACTAGAGCATTGTTTGGTTATTTTTTTTTTTAGTAACAATAAAACACTTTTCTCTGATGTTTTGTTAAAAAAAAAGAAAAAAAAAGAAAAAATATTCTCACCGTTCCTGTATGCTCATGTATCTGCATGTACCACATCCAGTGACGCCTCGGCCTCGCCGTTGGGCCCAGAGGTTTGGATGGGCTCTCAAGGTCTCCAAAAGGTCTGTCCTCACGGGACCCCCACCCACCAGGGCTCCAGGGGCGCCTCTTACACCTCTGCAGAAGGTCGTGTGGGTGCTCTCCTTCCAAAAGGCTTTTTTTTGAGCAGTGCATGGTGGTTTGTAGCAGTTAAATAGTTAAATTAAATGGATGCCAGTTTGTATGTAAAAGGTAAATATTGCCAAGTTGGTGTGGGCAAATGATGGAATTCTTCTCAGGGTGGGCAGTGTCAGAGCCTGCTGGGAACGTGAGTGTGCAACAGCAGAACTGTGCAAGGACTGATTTCTCTCTCATTACCTTGGATTGGAAAGGACAGACTTGCTGCACAGCCTTTGAGCAGCCCTGTGAATCCAGTGTGTCAGGGCTGGGAAATCTCTCTGGGCAGCTTGACCCTTCTGGCTGAAAGAGTTGGAAAAGCACTGGCTGGAGGGAATGGGAATTGCCAGCAAGTGGGTAGAGGTGAGGTGAGAAAATCTTTCCCCTTTTTGTTAGAGATTTAATGATATTCCAGGGGGTGAAAACTTGCCCTGTTAGTGTCCTGCAAAGGCCAGGAAGGGACTTCCCAGAGATTTTCACCAGGGGTTTTTCAGAATTACCCAAAGCTGGGTTTGCAGCATGGTAGGTTTTGGCTTCTCTGAAGTTAAACCAGTTCAGCTGCTTGCTGGATGCTGTGAGCAGTTTATGCACAAGTCCTTGAGGTCTCCAGCTGTGGGTGCATCACCTGAAGTTTCAGCTTCCCAACAATGTCACTGCAAGGAGCAGAACTCCTGACTCCTTCCTCTGCTCCTCTTGTGTTCTGTGCCATGCATTTACTGCACCCAATTGCTTCCCAGTTTCCTCCTAGATCAGCACAGGTTTGCAGGTGGTTGTGGCTCCTCAGGATACAGCTCATGAAAGATCTTTGGAACCGGTTTCTTGTGAAGGGTGTTAAAATACAAAAAACCTGTAAGGTATATGAAATAGAAAAGGGAATTACTAATTAAAACATGTTCCCATGGAATGTGATTTGCAGGAGCCTCATTTTATGTAAGGGAGGAGAGATGAGCTGTGATCACTGGACCAGCACTGGTTTACAGCAAAGCCTCAGTGGGGAGGGCAGCAGGTTTACACCAAGAATACTGCAGGTTGTGCTGAGGTTTTTTCTCCTAGTCTTGATCCTGTTGAAACACATCTTGTGTGCAGGCTCCTGACTGTGGCAGGGGGTTAATGCAGCTCAGCACAGAAGAGTGCCATTAGAACCATTTCTGCTGCTGGGAACCCTTCTTTTCCCCAGGCTGGGGCACTGTCAGAAGCACAGGCAAGGAGCAGATTGCTTACATCCCTCTTTATTACTGAGAATGTCCCCTATCCTGAAGCCACCAAACAACACGTTTTCAGGCCAGGGTCTGCCTAAGGCTGGTTTATTTCTAAGAAAGGGTTTTCAGAACAGGATCAGCCATTTCTGGGAATGAGGTCAGGAAATGCACTGATCCTGGATGCTGTGCTCTCTGCTTGTGTCAACATGTTCAGGTTTTACCTTATTTTCCAAAAAAGCCTCAGGTCCAGGAGCAGATCTTGGTGTATGGAAATGTCTTTTCATAGAATCCTAGAATGTGCTGGGTTGGAAGGGACCCATCAGCATCATGGAGTCCAGCTCCTGGGGTTTTTTTCCTGGAATCAGCCCTCCTTGGTGCAGGACGTGATAGGCCACGTGGCAGGAGAGGCTCAGGAGAAGGGATTCCTCTGCAGGGATGGTTTTTATTGTACACAAGGCAGGTTTAGGCCAGTAGTAACTTAGATCAGTTGTTGCTGTGACCCACAGAGCTTTTGTTCCTACTCTATATATTGTTTTTACTGATAAAGGAAAAACAGGGTCTCTCAAAAGTCCCCTTAACTTGCTAAGCTTTCTGTAAATTTAAAGCCAATTGCAGATGTTGGCATCTCCTTGCCAGAGGGTGGCTGGGATTGTTCTGCTTCATTTGGTCCCACAATGAGTTGTTGAACCCCTGGTTGCTTTGTCAGAAGTGTCCTGGCAGAGCAGAAAAGCTGTTATGCTTGGTTTCTTTCCAAGCTGTATGCTTGGTTTCTTTCACAGATTCTAGAGGGTTTAACTTTGGGGGCATGAAGCTCAAAATCAGACCTCCCCAGAATGCTATTGTACCCTTAGAGCCAACAACCCTGGTCTTGAGGCATTGAAGCACCTGTAGGAAAGCTGGCTGCTGCCTGCAGGTCATATGTGAGGGTGAGATGCTGCATGGTTGGAGTTGGGCCAGGAATGCTGGGCTCTACCTGGGGGTGAGTCCACTGGGAGGTGTTTGGGCTGGCAAGTGCTCCAAGCTCCTGCTTCTCTCAGTCAGGCTGGGAACTGGAACTTGGCCTTTCTGCTCTTTGGAAGGTGTTGGCCTGGAAGCTGCCAGCTGAGCAGTATCTGCAGCCAAGCAGCACCAGCAGGAGCCTGAGCTCTTCACACACCACTGGCTTTTCATGAGGTGCCAGCCCCGAGGTTTGCACAAGGCCCCACACGCTGACAGAAACTCCAGGTTTGCTGTGCCTGGGGCCACGTGCAACCTGCAACAACTGTAGGGTGGAGCTTGGGAACCAGGAGACTTCAGCCGAGGATCCTGCTTGGCTTTCTTCAGATAGACAACCTGCAAGGAGCCCTTGGAGGAAAACCAGCAATGGGCAAAGAACAGCAGCAAGAGACTGATTAACTCAGCTTCCAGCAGCGTGACTAAATTGCAATATCCAAGGAAACCTCAGGTTTTCTACCCTTGTAATTTTCAAGGGACTCCATTTGCCACCTTTGGTGAAGTATTGTGGGTCTGCTGTTTGCTGAAATAACTCCTGCTTCTTTCAATGCTGCTGTAGGGATGCTGACTGTGGAAAGCTTTGTCATGTGGGTCCAGCTTCTCTTTCTCGTTTCCAGCTGCTAAATTGTGCTGAAACGGCAACAGGAATAAAACCAGCACCCACTCCATTCAGTCCTTTCCACAGGGGAATTTGTCCAAGTTGCTGGCCCAGCTGCAGGGATGGATATGCTGTGGCTGCAAATGGGAAAGAGGGGAGTAGGCATGGGGAAGGCAATAGATGCTGTTGTTTGGGAAATGTTGGTGTTACTGTGTGAGGGGAGAGAGCAGTGAAGCTCTTGGCTGTCCTGTTGCAGCCTGCTGCAAGAAGCAATGGCAGATGTTACCATAAGGCAGAGTTTTACTAAGCTCCAGGGTACAAAGCATTAGTGAGGGGAGCAGAGCCCTGTTAGAAGTGGTTTATCACAGGGTTTTGGAGAACAGCTGGAAAGGAGCTGCAAAGATCGTCTTGGCAGATGCAGCTGGTGCATTCAGGTCTCACCTGTGAAGGGAAATGGGTCATTTCAGCATGCAGGGTGACCTGTTCTGAAATACCACCTGGTGTGAATGCTCTGTGACATTACAGATGGCATGAAATGAGTAATCCATTGGTCCTGGCCATTTCCCACTCGTGTGAGAGTGCAGGGAATCACTCCTGTGAAGGGAGCAGGCACTCAGCACCACCACTGCACAAATTCATGGACATGGACTCAGCTCACAGCTCTGTCCTGCCCAGGGTCTGTCCCAGCTCTCTGCAGAACAGGATTTGAGTGTTTTATCTGTTCTCCAAGGAAATGCATCTGATTCTCCAGGCCTTCTGCAGCATCACAAGGTGGATGTTCTGAGCAGGAGCCTTGAGGTGCAGCTGAGAATCTCAAAGAAAAGCCAATTGACAAGATTTTCCACAGAGGGTCCTGTTCAGTTGTCTTCCCAGCAAGGCTCACAGGCATGGCACTGCTCTCATATGCTGCAGAGGCCAGAGTCCAGCCAGGCTGCTTATGGCAAGGGTGTGCAGTGCATGTGAGGCAGCCAAAAATGAGCTTTTGTAGCTGCAAAACCATTCCAGCCAGGAGGTCTGGCAGCAAGTTACTGCCTGCCCAGGTGAGGGAAGCAGCCCCTGCATGCAGCTCACTGGTTTTCATCCAAAACACTGTTTGTTCAGAGTTAAGGAGATTCCCACTGCCCGATCTCTTAACTGTGGGGATATGTGGCTTTGGGAGAGCTGTCCCTGTGTGCAATGTTGAGTTGGTGGTCTTCAGCTGCTCCTTGCTTAGTGGAGGTGTCACTCCATGTGCCTGCTTTGGGTAAAATTAGTCAGTACTGTAATGCCAAAAGTGGTGTAGAAAAAGAATCACAACTTCCAGCCCCTGGTCCTCCAGTGATGACAGCACCCACCTCGTTAGCACAAATCAGGATCTATTTCAAATTAGGGTGTTTCTAGAAAAGCAGCAGCCTGTGGAGGCTGCTCAGTCCATAACATTTTCCTGCTCCAAATTCCTGTTGGTTCCAGTGGTGTTTCTGTTCTACACTTGCTCCAGAATGAAAACAACTTTGGTGTATTTAAGTGTATTTTTATTCACTTGCTAGATCTGATGTAAAAAGTTGAGTTGTTTGGTTTGAAAATGCATAGAGGAATGGGATACCCCTTGGAAAGGGGGAAATGTTTGAAAAGATAAAGAAGTAGAACCTTAAGGGTGTGAGAAGGGCAGCTAGGGAGATCAGCTGGAAGATGGTGTAGAGTGATACTGGGAAAAGTATGAGAACTAATTATTAGGAAGCTGACAAGGAACAAAGAAATCAAAAGTGATATCTTGAAAGCCATGAAGAGGCAGAGAATATGCATTTTTGGGGTTGAAAGCAGAAAAGGAGTGATTTTTAGAATTAAAGGAGCTGCAGGGATGACAGTTAGACTGCAGCTGAAAAAAGGTAAAGATGAATTGGAAGAGAGTTGTGAGTTGTTCTGGTGATCATTAGAGATGTCTTTGGTGAAGTTGAATCAGCAACAAAGTGGAAAATTGCCATTTAAAGGACTAAAAGTCCCTATTTCTACAGGACATGTAAAATGGAAA